AAGGGGCTGGGGTTCTGCTGGCCATTGACATTGGGGAACGACTTGACGAACATGTATGCGACGACAAAGATGGCCGCATGGCAGATCGGCCAGACGACCTCGGAGAAGACAACAGCTCGCCATGGAGCACGGGGAAGATCTCCAGACAGCTTTTCTGATGGAAAGCCAAGCTTCTTCTTTTTGTACCCGGTGATCATAGTCCTAGAAAGACGGCAATATCCATACCAACTGCTCGCTTTCGTTCTTGAGTTACCTCGGGACATCCAACGCAAGAACTCGCGATAGTCGATGATGAAGTCGGCAAATGAGAATTGATGAGGGTTGAAAATAAAGGGAGCAATGCACAATGAGAGCACAGAGAACCAGAAGTATATGAGATGGGGTACCCAAATGGCCAGAGAAACATAGAGAAGGATAAGCAGATTCCTCATGCCCATGTAGATACCTGGTCCTGCAAAGCGGGAATACAAAATGCTGAAGGATATTCGAGTCGTCGCAAAACCGCGACCGGTCGCGATATAGCGAGCCCCACCGAATGTCAGATTGCTCAGGATAGCTTGAGAGTATATTTGTGTCGAGAAAACCTCAAAGACGGGGGACAATGACAAGAAATGTTTTCCGAGACGCAGCAGCGCTTTTCCAGTTCCACGCTCAACAAGTTCTGCAACTCGTCAGTCAGTAAAGCCAAGCCCAGGGTAAAATGTTAATAAATCACCTTGCAAGAAGAGAGGCAGGAAAGCAATGAAGAACACCAAAAAAATGGAGACGATGCAGCGCTTGATCCAATCGAAGACGGGAATGAGGTTGTAACAACCAGAACCCTGCTGACCACCAAGCACGTTGCCCTGCGCATCAACTTGACAGATGGCGAGCTGCTTGTTCAAAGTGCCGATGAAGAGCACTACGATTCGTCAGGAACGCACGTCAAATGCGCAGCACATCGGGACTCACGAGTGACCATGAACACCTGGATCGAGTAAATGACCAAGATATTGTTGATGTGGAAACCAGGATGTCCATAGTAGAAGGTCAAGAAGCGATCGATGGGCAGCTGCGTGCCGAGGTAGTAGTATTCCCGACTAAGCATCTGCTCACCCATACCAGTACCGATCTTAGTCTGGAAGTTAAGAATTGTGCCGAACCCAAGATCACGACCCTTTCCACACTGGTAGTATTCCGAGTGCTTGATACGACCACCACGCCCAAAGGCGTTCATACCGGCGAAGATATCCTCGTTGAGATGCAAACCTTTCTGCGCCTTTGAAACTCCACCGCGTGTTGTCATAAAAAGGGCATTGAGGAAATCAGGGTGTCCATAGTGCAACTTGCCCCCAATCCACGCGAGCGCACGAGCCGTCATCGTACCGAATGTCTGTTCCTTCCCAGCAGCAATGTCACCCAACACCCCAATGTTCTCCGAGAAGATATACTCGCGCGTGCCCACGATAGCAACAGGGGATTTCTTGAACTCCTTGTGACCCCATTGTGCATACGGACTCTGGCTTGAGATGGAGTACTCTTCAAACTCGCCAAGGATGTTCCGAATCTTGAGACATTCTTCAAGGTAGTTGTCCTGGTTGGCATCAATAAGCTGAAGGTATTCGCCGCGATAGAAAATGATGGCATGGTTCTGGTTGTCCGACTTTCCATCACCAAGAATAGGGTTTCCGGGCAGCTCAATGCGGAACTTGGGCTTCCGTTTACCAGTGACCTCGTCAATTTCTGAATGACCATCAATCAACGTCGAAAACAACCGGCCTTCGCTGCCTTTCGGCCCGGGCTCTTCATCAAGGTACGCAATCTGTAGATCCGGATATGCGCGCAGTAAAAACTCGGCATTCTCCTGCTCCTCCTTGTTGAACTTCGAGAACCGTTGCATAGAGATGGCAAACTTGAACTTGCGCCGTGCCATCCTTTCAAGCTCCCGCTCGAGCTTCTCCGTGTTGCCCCCAAACGTCGACACGATAGCGGGATTCTCAACGCGGTAGAGAAGCTTAATGGCCTTGGAATAATTCATCATGCCAGATACAGTACGATACAACGTCTGCGCGCGCAGGGAGGCCCAGATACGTGTGCGGAGGGTATATTCTGGGCTTGATGTCTTGAAACCGATGCAGTAGAAAGGCAAGTCATCCGCTTTGTTGTTCGTCTTCTCATTGATCGAATTCGTTCCATCCTCGTTCTCCCCAACAAGAATCTTTGTGTCCTTCACAAAGTTGTCCCATTCGACAGAGTGGAGCTGCTTCAGGTACTCAAGTAACGTCACACGGGTGCTCTGGTCTTCTTCGCGGATGATTTCGCGCAAGCTGAGTAGAATCTTCTCAGAATAGTGCGGAACGAGGACTGTGAATGTAGGCATGGCTTCCACGGGGAGAGGCTCAGGCAGTGCGGTGGTGAGGGAGCTAGCGAAGAACGAAATCCTGCGCTCAGCTTCACCATCTGCGGGGAAGAAGGTGTTTTTATAGTTGCCACCGTTCTGGTTCAGGAAGAATGGAGGCGCGTTAAGCGTTCGGCGACCGTCGGCAGTCTCAGCCTGGTGATACAGCAACCGCTGGACATGGATCAATCCCAAGGAGATGCTCGCGATACATGGAGATTATAATGGCATTCCAGATCTGCGAAACAAGGACCTTGGGTTTGTATTTGACCTCCATCTCACCAGTGGCAAGAAGTTTGGCGTAGATGCGCTTAGGAAGGCGGGTATACACATCTTTCCAAGGCGTCCAGATCGACAGGCCAAGCGAGAATGAACGAGCAACTGAGAAAACGACGACCCAAATGATGTACCACAAGTACGTGTCAAGGAAGAACAGAATCAGGTCCATGATATACATGATAGCCAATGTGAAGGGGACCTGATTCGAGCAAAGGACATTGCCAAAGAGCTTATCATTGCATCCCTGGACAGTAGTCCGCGCCATGACTGCGATTGGCGAGCTGAAGGAACTGGTGAGGAAAAAGTATGATTCTGTAAATTTGCATCCGAAGATGAGAAGCCAGAGCATGATGCTTGCAGTACGTGCAGTACGCGTAAGTTCCGGGTAAGATGCAGTAAATGTCTGCGAGGCCATGTACTTGCGTGACTTGCCAGCAACACGATCACCAAACATGCGCCCGGAGGGAAACAATCCGAAAACAACGGTCGCAACGACAGAGATGAAGAACTGCACAATGCCAACGATGACAGGGATCTGCGAGGTGGTGGGGGTTGGACGGCTTTCAACATATGCAATGTACACCGTCGGGCCGCCCGTGAGCGCTAGAATAACGAGGAGGAATATGAATCGGGTTGTGAGATGGGAGGCATTGTTCCATGTTGTGGGGATATACATGAACTCGGCAAGCGTGGCTGAGAGCATGATCAACGTGGCAACTGCGCCTCCAAGGGCAGTTGCGGACCATGTCATTGCAGGTGAAGGGAATTGCGAATTTGGAGGCGCGTACACCCTAGGGGAGTTGAATGCGGTATAGAACCAGTAAATTGCAATGTGAAGAATCCAGATGCGGTTGAAGTTGACAAGTAGATGTGCTGTGGAACGCTTCTCCTTGTAAGTCTTGAAGAAGACTTTGTTCCAGTCCACGCGCCGCAGGTTCATGTAGCGCTTGGAGGGTGAGATATCCACGAGACGAGACTAAAGAGCATGTTAACTTAACATATGCTGCAGGGAAAAATCACCCACATGGTTCTCAAGGACAATCCTTGCCAGACCCTCAGGATACCAAAAAAGCTGGTTGATGTCGTCATATCCAATGATCTCGTCATGATCCCTCTCCCTCCTCACAAATTTGCCCTCTGAAACCTCATAACCCTGGTCACGCATGAACGTGTATAATGGCTTGATGATTGTGTGCAGATATAGACCCTCCCGTACGGGTTCCACGCTATTTTGGCACTCAGGACTACGGTAGTAATCGTCTGCGCACTTAAAGATAAAGCACAGACACTCGGGAACAAAGCGCACGTTGCCCGCCTCACCCCAACAAAGGAGGTAAAGTGCTATCTGGCGGAGTCTGTCGTACTGACTCATGTTATTCATCGCGTTACGCCAGCGGTTCAGTGCACTATCCAAATGTTTCGAGCCTGGTGTTTTGACTGAGCCACCTCGAACGCTTTTGAGGCGTTGCAAGCCAGGATTCTGGGTTTGTCCGACGGCGTCATCGAGGTTGAGTTGTGCGGCAAAGTACCACTTGCGATAATTTGCGTGTTGTCCACCAATGTAATCGGCATGGAGGGTTAGCAAGGCTTGATTTGGACTCATACGGGAGGCGCGGGAGTCGAGGGACTGCATTAAAAAATCAAACTGTAAAAATTGATCAGTGCCTGTGTATGCCGGGGTTGTATGATATAACGAACCATGTTTCGCATGGAATCACGTTGGAACCCAAATTTTTGGGTGAGGTCTAGAAAAATGTCCTCTATTTCTTCCATGGAAATTGGTATCTGACGTTCGGGGGACCAGGCTGGATATGGGTAGGTGGTTGAGTCGGCAAAGGGAGAGCCATATGGCTGGCTCGCCTGTGAGTTAATAGATGGTGCGTAAGAACGACTGCCATGTCCAGCATCAGAAGCAGAGTCGTGGCCTGTGAAGGGGTTAGAATCATAGTATTGCTGGTTAACTGCGAGACGAGTGGTGCTAGCATAGGGAGTGCCGATCTCTGATTCATTGTCATAGTCTTGTCGAATAGGCTGTTGTTGTCGGTACAAATTTTGCTGGCCATAAGGGTTTGGGAAAGGATTGGCGGGCTGTTTGGGCCCTTGAGCTGGTTGAGCCATGTTAATAGGCCCAACAGATGATCAGCAGTCGAAGTAAAGAGCGACTATAAGGAAAGTAATAACAAGTACTGAAAAAGATAGGAAAGTCAGTGCCCAGGGATGATGAAGGAGGGATAATGGAATATTTGTGAAACACCGCGACGCGCATATAGAACAATCATCACTCGTGAGAAATCAGACCTGGTTACCAGTAAAATTAATTAAAAAAAGATAAGTAACAGTCACTGGTCAACGACCATCACGTTGACGTTGCAGTCTACGTTGTTCTGATGCGCACTTCCACGCCCATGTGCCACGCCGCTCCGAGTGGTTCCAACAAAACAAATCAGAACGTCCACAGTCCACACGTGATTTCATAAAACACGTCGCGCGCCTCTGAACTCAGTAATCCATATGTCTCAACCAACAATCGTGCTCTGGAACGCTCAACGGCGCGCAACCCATTTTTTGGACTATGCAGGCACACGAGCCCCCTATGACACGGATCGGGAGCCTCCAAAGATTTTGAAGACCGTCCCACCCCTCGCGTACTTCTGTATTCGTGCCCTCACTCCTCATGTAGACCAACTGCACCACCTTAAGCATACTGTACCTTACAATAGGGATGTTGTCAGTGCTTTGGTCCCACGAACACCGCTCCCGCTTTCTGTCAAGAAGCGACCGTTTTTCCTTTCAATTGTGAACCCTAAACTGTTGGCAACACTTGGACAGGTTATGCACCCACTTCCTAAAGAGTTTAGAGACTATAACATACCCCTAAGCGATGTCCATTTACCATTGCTTCAACAGGTGCCCAGTCGGGAGAACTTCTGCTTTATAACTGTCCTGGCCTTACCGTATCGTAAGGAGGTGTGCGACGACACCATTGACGTCATTTGCCGTCTGAACACGCTCACTGTGCTGGATATAAGAGGTACAACTGTAGGATCCTATGGCCTTACCGTACTTGCTCGTGGTTTGTCATGGAGCGATGACGACCTGCAGTCCCGGACTGGTTGCTGGGGCCTCAGAATCCTAAGCCTGCATAGCTGCCCCAACATAGGCAACGATGCTCTCCCCATATTATCCAAGTTTCCCTTGCTATCATGCATAGGTAAAATCCTTCTTTCTCTATTCGGCACCACGACTCATCTGTGTCCAGACCTGCGCTTCACTGGCTGCATCCGACGCGCTGTCTCCGAACATCTTGCAGATGCTGGCTTCAGACCTTCTTCAAATCGTTTATTATTTTACCCTGTTCCATCGGAGATCTCGCTCAAACAACTGGAGAACTTAGGCCAAACTTCGATGTACTCGTGCGGACTCACTTCTGTATTTAAGTTGCACATTAACAAGCTCAACCATTCCAACGTTTTTTTCGAGCACAGAACCCCATTGTACACTCTCCAGAATATGATCGAGGGTCCATCAAGCTTAATAGATGTGGATGCTGATGAAGGGCCAGCTGAACCCGCCTCTCAGAATGTGCAGGCAAGTACGAGATCTACTTTCTACACATCACGCTTGCCTCGCAGAGAAAACCTGATCCAGGCTGCAGTCGAGGAGAGGAAAGAACAACTGCACCCATTGGCTTTGGCGCGCCCTCCACCTCAATGGAGTGTACTAGACGCGCTCCGACCACCGGTATTATATGATCCAAAGGAGGAGCCACCATTACCGAAGCTCGAATTTATCGACCGTGCGCGTCTCACTAAACGTACCTTGTCAAGCATGGAGGATATGGTTGCGACCCTGGCCGACAAGAATAAGAAACGGCAAGTGGAATATGGAACACCTGACAGTTGAGTATTATGGCGGGTCCAAATCGACTGTTGTAGCCACCCGAATGAATAATTAATTCGATCTTTGAATACTTACTAGACTATGGTGTTGCCGCCAGGGGAACTGAAGCAAGTCGACACTTTGATAAACTTCGATTTGAAGCCAAGCATGCCGGTTCACCTGAGTTCCCGTAATCAGTACATATACTGCCGCTAATACTGAAAGCCCAGTGCCAGTATTCCACCTTTCGGCAAGTTAGATCTGACTTGGATTTCAACAAAGTTATTTGAAGCGCACTTCGTGAAGTCACAAGCTTAGAACATAATCTAAGACAAATTGGTCCTCATTCTTTCATTTGCAAACTGAATAAGTATCTGTAAAGCTCCGTTCACAGTTAGTGAGAGGTTAGCACGCCAATCTGCGCACATCTCTTTGCTGGGGAAGAAGACTTGTTCGGAGGGGACAGATGAAGCCTGTGCGGGAAGGACATCCAATATTGCAACACGAAACAGCTACATATTCTTTTTGCTACAAATGTTATGTTCATTTTAACAGTGCACATACCTCCATAAAACGAACGATATCGGCCGTACATTCAGCAGTAGAATCAAGAGCTTCATCATGCAGCGCTGCAATTCTTGCTCGGCATTTGCAGTAGCTCGACATGATGTATACTGGGCATAGTGATTACCAGGAGATGCACACACAGACAGGTAGAGAGAGGTTTCACAAGATCTCCAAAGAACCATTTTGGATGCCCAGTGTTGCAGATGAGTACGAGGGAAATTGCGACTGACTAGGAAGAGAACCTACCGTAGGATGGGAACTGACTTCGTGAATATTGGAGATCGTGTGCGAGAGGCTTACATTGTGAATGTTCAAGTCGCTGCTAGTCTGGTGCACTGACTTCAGAACAATGAAGTCAACTAAAGTTTCGTGCTTTCGAAGTGAAGCGACTTTCTGTTTGCTGTCGTGCAGCGGTCTCAGTAGTGATAGCGAGAACAAAAGAAAATGATTGCTTCATTGGAACAAATAGTTTTTTTGGGTGGAAGCACCGAAGGGGCAATCCGGTCCCAATAGTGGTCCCAATAGAGAACCGAGGTGAGTTGCGATTCTTATGGCAGTAGGAGTGAGAGCGGCGCAGTAAAGTAAACCTCGGATCCCAAATTGTAGGAGCCGCAGAGCAACGCTTCAAGGTGAGGAAAGTGGTGTTGGAAAGAAAAAGGCAGCAGCCGCATGAGCAAGGGTACGGACAAGAGCAATGGATAAGGTAAAAACCGGTATGCAGGGTGACCTATTCCGTATCAAGGTGAACGATCAAATAGTTCCCTGCCCTGATGGGCGAGAAACCCGACGAGAGTTTGCAACGGCAAGTTTCCTACATGAGTAAACTTGAGTGGGCAGCCCGGGCATGGAGATGTCCTCTATCCGTGGCCAGCTTCCCCGCCAGACTTGTCTTCATTGCATGCGGATGCATGCCAATGATCCAGGCCCTCAGAGCACACCACCGAGTTGCCAAGTAGCCGAAGACGGCCTGTAAAATAGAAATCCGGCCGATAAAAACATTGGGAGTCACCTGAGGCCACGAAAATTCCGGAAAGAATACAGGCACAGAAAAGAAAAGCAGAAGGCAGCAGGCAGATTTGAGCCTGCTGGAGTGTGAGTCGTGACCCGAGCACTGTTGTACCATGTGCTATTAATTTTAACCATATACTCGCAGTCTCGTACCTCAGCATCAGGATAGAATACCCAAAATGTAACCTCGAAGTCGTTTCGCTTCGGAGGCAATGTACTGCTAGTTGTTGTGGATCTAATCGACTCCGGCCGAGTCTGTTCAACTGGCAAACAAACAAATCAAAATTTCCACAGTCCACATGTGACCTCATACTAAAACGCGTCGCGCGCGTCTTTGCTCAATAACCTCACATGTCTCCACCAATCGTACTATGGAACGCCAAACGGCGTGCAACCCATGGTTTCGACGATGCAGGCATCTCAATCACGAAAACTATATTGCCTCCTCCAGGCCCCCGGGCCCCTTATGACGTGGATCGGGAGCCTCCAAAGATTTTGAAGGCCGTCCCACCCCTCGCGTATTTCTGCATTCGTGCTCTCACTCCTCATGTAGACCAACTGCACCACCTTCAACATACTATACCTTACAATATGGATATTGTCAATGCTTTGGTCCGACGAACGCCAGCCTCTCTTTCTGCCAAGAACAAGGATTCACAACCGTTTCACGTTTCGACTGTTGACCCTAGACTGTTGGCAACACTTGGACAAGTTATGCACCCGCTTCCTGAAGAGTTCAGGGACTACGACATACCCCTTAGCGATGTCCATCTACCATTGCTTCAACGAGTGCCCAGTCGGGGAAACTTCTGCTTCATAACTGTCCTGGCCTTACCATATTGCAAAGAGCTGTGCGACGACACCATTGGCGTCATTCGATGTTTGAATACCCTCACTGCACTGGATATACGAGGTACAACTATAGGATCCTATGGCCTTACCGTACTTGCTCGTGGTTTGTCATGGAGCGATGACGACCTGCAGTCCAGGACTGGCTGCTGGGGACTCAGAATCCTGAGCCTGCATAGCTGCACCAACATAGGCAACGATGCTCTCCCCATATTATCCAACTTTCCCCTGCTATCATGCATAGGTCAAATCTTTCTTTCTCTATTCATCATCACGGCTCATCCGTGTCCCATCACCAGATCTGCGTTTCACTGGCTGCACGCAACACGCTGTGTCCAAGCACCTTGCAGATGCAGGCTTCAGACCTTCTTCAAATCGTTTATTATTTTACCCTGTTCCATCGGAGATCTCGCTCAAACAGCTGGAGAACCTTGGCCCAACTTCAATGTACTCCTGCGGACTCACCTCTGTATTTAAGTTGCACATTAACAAGCTCAACCATTCCAACGTCTTTTCTGAGGACAGAACCCCACCGTACATCCTCCGGAACATGAGGGAGGGACCGATAAGCTTAATAGATTTTGCTGATGAAGAAAACGGCGAGCCAGCTGAACCTACCTCTCAGAATGTGCAGGCACGCATGACGTCTACTTTCTATGCATCGCGCCTGCCTCGCAGAGAAAACCTGATCCGGGCTGCAGTCGAGGAGAAGAAAGAACAACTTCGCCCATTGGCTTTGGCGCGCCCTCCACCTCAATGGAGTGTACTAGACGCACTCCGACCACCGGTACGACAGCAACAACCATATGGTCCAAAGGAAGAACCACTACTACCGAGACTCGAATCTATGGACCGTTCGCGTCTCACCAAGCGCACCTTGTCAAGCGTGGAGGGTATGGTTGCGACCCTGGCCGACAAGAATAAGAAACGGAAAGTTGAAAGTGCATTTGCCAGCGCAAGAGTTCATCCAATTTCTGTTACAAAGTCGAAAAACCCCTTCGCAAAATCTGGGGGCTCAACTTCCAAATCGAACCGGTCGAGCGGCATGGTGCGATCGGTGTTCGCTGAGCAGAGAGATGCTGTCACTGCATCAGCACCTGTTAAACAAGGCTTGTGTAAAGCTGAGCCGTGGCCTAAGTTTTGCGACGGAGGGCCCTTGAAACCATTGAAAACCTCCACGCCTTCAACTTCCTCGAGCAACACCGCTTCGAACCCGGTCTCCTCTGCGAGTGGTAGCTCACTTCTTCATGACACCTCAAACCCTGTCAAGAAGGATTCGAAGCCTCCTGTTAAAGCCAAGATACTCAGACCCATCACTTCATATCCCGTTCCGCCATGTCCACCAGAGCATTTTTTGTTGGTGCCACAGATATATCCGAAGAACTGGGAGAAGAGCAAGGGAACTGCCCCCGCTGTATTTGAGCCTTTTCCTGATTCGATAGTGCCGATGGATGGGAGCGATGATATCATTGAGGTGGAAGGAATCGGTTCCATTCACGATGACGATCCCAAGAGTAATGAGAGGTCTCAGAAGAAAGCTGGGAGAAATCGTGGCGGTACTAACAGTGCGGCGAAGAAAGGAAGGCAAAAGGCGACTGAATTTGATTGGGATAAGTGGAGACGGAAAACTATGTGATTGACTGGCATTCTTTGTGTACCATTCTTTATCGATCCTTTATCCTTTAAGCTTTATTTCTCATAACCATTCACGGATTCTTGTTTCATGTACTCCTCCCTTTGCTGATAGCTACATATCTAACCGAGTCGCAATTGTACTTATAGTGGCTTCAAATTTCAAACTTAAAGTTGCACCTGGACGCGCGCATCACGTGAGAGGCCGCGTTCATATCCAGTTTCATTTGGTAGATCACTTTCTAGAGAGTCCAGCATTACGGGCTAATGTCCAGGCACGATGGACTACTTCTCCAAGTTCCTCCGCACAACACCCCAAGCCTTGCCAAAGCCCATTCAAGACCATGCAGATGAATTCAGCAAATCCTGGAATGTCATCAAGGTACTCCTCCCTTCCCGACTTTCCGCAGATCCAAATTGAACGCGAGTCGGCATGCTTGTAGACAATACTCGAGCATCCAGACGAACGGCAGATCACCAAGGGAATCAAGTCTACCGAAGCCCCAGCTCACTTACAATCGATGGTCGATGCCCTGGTCAGGGAATCGTCCCATAGTGAAGAAGGGTACGTATTCTGCAACCACGAAGGTCTCGATAGCGTTTATCATTGCTCTCGGTCAGCGCAACTGGTGCCTGCTTAGAATTTTTGCTCAAGAATGGTCTGCACCCCATCAATCCTATACGCCTGTATCTGATACTTATTACTCCTACAGACGTCTTGGGCACACTCGTGCGCCTCGCAGAACCCGACAGACCCTCTGGAATTCAGGCTGAGGTACTCCGTGCAGTGCAGAACATGGTTGTTCTCATGGATGAGCAATTTCTTGTGCACTCCGCTGTACATCGCGCTGTCTTGCGCCTCCTGCGTAACTGTGCCGGAGACGACATCCAAGAGCAGCTAGATGGTCGGAACAGGGTTATGGGAGCTGCGAAAAATGCCGTGCGGAGCCAGCCGTCTGACTATGAGCTTGATCGTGAGTGTTTCTCTCGTGTTTGATTATCTGTGGAGGCTGATGGATGGTAGTGTTGAACTTATTGTGTATTTTGTGCAGCCGTATACGAACGTACCGCGAACTGTTGATGATTTTCTTCCATGATAAGCACTGGTATCACTCAGAACCGCTTTTCTCTGTTGAAGAAGAGGATGAGGATGAGGATGAGGACGAAGATGAGGGAAAGAACGATGATGGGGAGACAGGGGAGCGCGCATCATCACCGACACCTTCACAGGTCACAATCACGTCTGCTCATGCATCTCAGGCCGCCCATTCTCACAAGACGGAATACGAGTTCCTCCTTTTCAACTATCTGCTCCGATTCGTTCACCGCGAAGGGCAAATCGGCGACTTTGCACGCACAGGCTTGCTTTTCCTCATGGATGTTGCAATGTCTCCTGGGGAACAAATGCAGAGATTGGCAGGGGAGGAACAGGAATCAGCTCCAGCGTCTATATCAGAGACAGCAGTTAGGAATCCGATTACAGATGCAGCGCTTGCTTTGGCGGAGTATATCGTCGATGGTGATTTTTCAGACGTTCTTGGGGCGGGTCTGGGCGCAGTATACTCTTTGCTTCCATCGAAATTGGAAATCAAGTCACCGACTCGGGCTGATCCCTTGCACGGCAGTGGCATGGTACTGGGCAGCACAGGACCAGAAACTGAAGATGAGATAGATCATGCCGAATTAGTGATGGAGAATAACCGTGTCTCGGGTATGGAGGATTCTTCTAACCCAGACTTCAAATCTCGCCTCGATCACTTCCTCAAGTTGCTAGAATTTCTGCAGGACATTCTCCGCAGAAATGCCATTCGTGATACCCCCGAGTCCGGTCTCGATGCGTCTGCATTGGTGGGCACATCTATTGTGCACTCTATACTGGATGCCGTGCGTCGCAGCTTCCTTGAAAACATACTCTACCCATCCATCCTTGAGTGTTCTGATCTCGACGGTAGCGCTGTTGCTGTGATGTCTTATATTGACATCGTAATTCGTACTCTCGAGCCAGGTCAGCTTTCCGACCTTTTCGTCGAATTCCTCATGAGTGAGGATAACGATGACGTCTCCCGCTCACGACCACACCCTCGTATGCTCAATCTCAGCAGTGCTCCACCTCGTGCTGGTGACCGCGCGACAAAGCTCCGCCGCCGCAAAAGTAGTGCAATGGTACTGCTTGAGATGGAAGCTCCTGAATCGCAGAAACAGTCAGAATACTTTACCTCGATGGGGCGATTCACGCTGAAAGACCTGCTACTCTCTAATCTGCGCTCGAAGAATCAGGCGACGGTCGCATCTGCTCTGCAGCTGTTGCAGTCGATGCTCAGCCAGAGATGTCACGTTTCAACCAGCGGCCTGTTCCTTGTCTTCTATGATGCAAATGCGACGAGCTACCCTGAGCCTGCTATGATTTTCCCGGATGTCATGCACGCAGCTGGAGAGGATAGCGACGAAGAAGAAGAATTCGTTTATCCCGGTGCAGAGGAGACCAAACCCTCTGCAAGGCCACAATCGCCGCCCTTGCCCACATTCGTCCAGCCAGATATAACGTTCTCCACACACGAGCGTGAGATGGGACTCTACCTCACACTGGTCTCCCGTGTTGACCCCTCACACAACGATGATGCATTCAGCACTGGCTATGACCACTATCTTGCTGACGCAATGTCTTCCATCCAAAACCACAGTTGTTTCCATATCCATGATGACGAAGACATGAACGCACGTTCAAAGTTTAAGCATCGGCTCAATGTCAATGACCCTATTCTCTCGCTCGTTCTGGAGTCTATGCGCACATTCTTCTCGAACTCGCCAAAGATGAACATCTCGCTCACAGGCGTACTTGCAGAGTTAGCTGTCTGCCCTAACCGCTCTATCGCGGGGTGGCTTACATGTGTAGTGTCAGAGACTCACGCTTCATTCTCGGATCCAAATCTCGATGTGGATGATGGCCGAGATGATAGATCCATAGACTCTTTGATCGACGAGAAGTTTGCTACAGAAACCAACATACTCCCCGCTATCAGGCTCGATGAACACACCCGCCCCGTTGTACACACTATTTTCCAGGGCCTCGTCGGCCAGTTGGAACGCTACCGGCAATCAGTCGAAAATTTCGACCAATATCTTCTCGAAAGGCGACAAGGTCTTTTATTCTCGGAAAACCTGACAGATGCACTCACTCTTTCACTTGAACCGGTTCAAGATGCCTTGTCGCCTAACTTATCTCAATCGGGTTCTTGGGATGTTGTTCAAGCCCCTGACACGCCTCCTCAACGTCCAAAGCCGAAGCCGAAGACCTCGGCTCTCGTATCTTTCCTGACACCAAGAAAAAGCAAACCTGCCCCATCCAAGGCGCCTTCTGAACCCACAACGCCTCCGAGATCGGGAGATAAAAACGTCGCTGCAAGTCCATTTGCTCCTCATTATCAGCGTACGCGGGATATTGTTGTTGAACCTTTCGTGGCTCCTGTTCCCCAGTCAGGTCATTGGATATTAGCCCAGCCGTCGAGATGGAACACGGATGAAGATGATGTTTTTAGTGCTGATAGCCAATGGGGTGGGCATGCGGCTGCTCGATCAGGGGAAGGGGACTCGAATGAAGGGAAGGCAACGCAAGTTACATTGTCACAATTACTGGACAATGTTGTTATTTTGGAAGAGTGCATCAAGGAGCTGGTGGCCATTATTCACGCCCGTCGTAGTTTAGGAATTGATCTAGTAAGATACGTATGAGAGGCTCATTTATAATCCTATTATCACCCGTGGAGGTTGGAATGTAAAAGATTGTCGCCGTGCTAGCTCATCGGGTGTATCGTCAACCATCATATGCGTCATATGCAAACGTTGACCGGTCAGGTTTCAACGACAATAATCCATCAAAATAAATACAATACACAGTAGGACGAGGCAGGGTATGACAGAAAACATCCACAAAACAGGGGTCATTTGGCTTTCTTCGTTTTTCCGTTCCGTCTTCCCTTCACTGGTGACGATCCTTCACCTGATGGCTTGCGCTTGTCCGAAAACAACTTCTGTTGTATCTTGGCAAATTCTTCATCATCGATATCAGGAGGATCCTGGACATGAGGTTTCTTCTTTGGTGATTCCGCTTCAGCCTCAGACTCGTCAGCGTCCTTCTTCCGTTTCTTTCCCCTTCCTCCTTTCTTTCTAGATGACTCTTCCATATTCGAGTACTTGGCAGCCAGGCCGTCCAGGAAACCGTGGCGGTCCTTTTGTCTCTTTAGAATGAGGGCTTGGAGTGCTGAAGTATCTCCGTTGTCATCGTCATCGTCATTTGCTGATTTCTTCGCTTTCCCCTTGCCTTTTCTCGCTCCTGTCTTTCCGCTTCCATAAAACTCATCCCATACACCAAGTTCCTTCGCAAGTTCCTCAGCCTCCTTTGCCTCTTTATCACTCTGCTTCTTCCTCACTAACTTAGCTTTCTCGTCTTTGGAGCTCGACGCCCATTGCGGAAGACTAGGCAAATCGCCAGCTTGTACAAGACCCGAAAGTGCGACTATAAACCTTGGCTCATCATCAATAGTAGAGTGAGGAATGTGTTTCATGATTTCTTCGAATGATCCTCCGGTTTCAAGATACGCGGCCTTGAGGTCCTCGATCTCCTCAGAAGATCCTGTAAGCAGCGTTACTTAACGATCTAACGGATATTATTTAGACGCACCTTGATATTCCTTCTTCATTTCGTCCAGTCTCCCGCGTGTGACGCGGTCAAATAGGTCCTCAAAGTAAGCTTCCCAACCACCGTCTTCATCCGCCTCACCGAGTAATCCTTCGTCAGTCTTTCCGGTTTTATCATATTTCTTCCTCCGCTTTTCGTCACTTAGTACGGTATATGCAAAACCAATCCTCTGGAATTGCGTAGACGCCTTGGCCCTTTCCTCCTCAGTGGCATTAATCAACTTGTCAGGATGACACAACAAAGCAAGTTTCCTGTAGGACTTCCGTATATCTTCTGCGGATGTATCTGATTTAAGCGACAATACGGCATATAGGTCTACATCTTCTTCGTCGAAGAACTGGGATATAGGGTCGTTGTCGTCCATGGTGGCAAGAAACGCGTTGACTGTCACACGACGCGCTGTAAATGAGATAGGTCACGTGCTATTGTAACAGTCACGATTGCTAATACTCCCACCTCAATTTTCACTACATACTTATCAATTACCATCCTCCCCACAGATAAGACAGTCATACCTTCTATCCTGTGGACCACGAAAACATGCCTTCTGCACGAAATTTTATTTGAATCCCTCCCAGTTGTCATTTTTTCGTGCTCCACTGCTTCGTTGGTATGTCCAGTCGTTGCAAACGTTGATCTAGTTGCAAACACTGTGCTATCCGGAGAAATATCTACCGAGTCGATATATCTCCAAAGAGCTCTGATGTTTTGCTTGAGAGATTCACCACCATCTCCCGTCTCGTGTTGTTATTACTAACACACAGTGCGCACTAACACAATGCTGTCCTCGTGCATCGTATGTGTGGAAAAATGCCATTGCCATCACGAGTCATCCGCAATTTTCAAATGTGCGGGTGGAGTTGGTGTTTGTTATCGTGAGCTGCCGCTTGTTATCTTGTCGAGGATGGTGCTCTTGGATTGTCAATTCATTGCTGTACATGTTGCTTCCTCGTAAGTAGTATATCTCAATAGTGCAAGCTGCTCTCGTACGCGCGCTCACGAATCGCAATATCAGACAATATCAGAGAACAATTGTGTCATGTCATGTATGTAAGTTCTGCTTGACGTTCCAACTATTCGCTTCAACGAATATTAGCATCGGAAGCTGATCAGTGTTCATATCATCTCGTAGGTCGGACCTCCCACCCAAAGTTGATCTTGATGAACTCCTATTTCAATCTATCAGACCACCACGCGCGCTGTTACATTGGACTCAACGGCCTTATCTCGCAGATCACTGCGACGACCGTGCATTGTAAGTACAATGCACAATCGAGTTGTGAAGTTCATTTGTCAAAGAATCTCAAAGGACCTGTAATCAAAGCTGTCAGGGTCCCTCATTGTATAGTAAGGTCGACTATTGGCCCAATGCTTGTCCCTAATCTGTGTTAGATATACAAGGTCCAACTCGTAAAATTTTCACTTCCATCCCACGCCCCTACCGTACTACTAAGGCCACCATGATGGTCGAATGTCATCGGTGCAGGACTCGTGTTTGTCAGGAGCTGATGACAGTTCATGAAACCGATGTCAAAACAGGACAATAACACCTACCCTCGATCATGATGCGCATCCAATTCAATGTGTTACAGTTGCAGGAGCATTATCCCCAAGTCAGTCCACATGATGACTCGACCGCTATATATCCTAATGTCGTCTCCTGCAGCCGGTTCCACACTCAGCGGTCACTCAGGCTCTCATTCCACCCCTCGGATTTCTGAATGACCCACCAGACTCGGAACTGTGGCGACGAGAGCTTCAGCAATCGCGTAACAAGCTTCTACCACGTTTTTTGTGCAAAACCTGAATAAGCTCATTATTGTGTTTAAGAATCTGAATGGTATACATTTACGCACACCTGAAACGCTGCACGAATAATAGATGGTAGGGTAAGCAGTGATGTCCAATTCATACAATTAATACGCTCTAGGCCTGTGAACGAACTGGAACAGAAAACTGTAGAATGGGGAAACTGGAATAACAATAAGATTCTCGTGATGTTAACCATGCATCGAATTATCAGGAATATTTTAAAGTCTTTTGGATCGCAGTGTAAGACTCGATTTTCGGCTTTCGGTCACCCGTCCTCACATCTTCCCGATAGGAAAGACATCCGTGCCCTATCATATATCAGTCAAATTTTTTTTCCATTGACCAAAATATGCCGTTCCCTGAGATATGTGGCAGTCCTTCGCGTCCTTCTGGTCTTGTGCGGAAGAGATTGTGGGGGCGGGTTTCATGGCCTCACACAACCAAGCACAAGATATGATCGATCTGCTTGAAGAAGTAAGCCCATGTCTCTGGCCTATTTATGTGGCTGACTTCAGACACCAAGATCTTGCGAGATCCTTCAACCGATCATGCCACGCATGCACGGCCTTTGAAATAAATCATTCGACTATCACGAAAATCTGGTTGTCTGACATGTCAGCTACGGTTGGACGGACTAGTAGAGCCAAACCCGATACATGATGTTGAGCAGGGTGGATCCGCAACCATTTTTACAGCGTCTTATAAACACCAAGCTGTTGCTATCAAGCGATCGCACTTGCCATCCACATCCCAGTGTTGTGAAGTGAGCAGTTTATCATCCGTCGATCTACCCCCAGTTCATTTGTCCGCATGTTCAGGACTTTGTGAGCGAAGCAGCGATTTGGAGTCACTTGAAACACGAGATTATCGTGCCATTTATAGGAGTCATAGACAAAAACCTATAGGTTGTGGCTTGTTTCGGAATTCATGTACAGTGGTAATGTGAGAACGTACATGAAATATGCGGGCAGGGAGAACTGCGATCTTCGGCATCTGGTAAGTTATATTACTCGTTATCAGCAATACCAGTCGATTGGAGATTCTCTATCCAGGCAGAAGGAGCTGCAAAAGGTCGATCCGCCCATCCGAGTCGTCCACGGTGATCTCAAGGGAGTGTTCTCATGTTTGAAAGGTTCGCAGGTTTATTCCATATGATTCAATGCCTTGGTCGACAAACGAGGGAACGCTTGGCTGACCGACTTTGAAATTTCAAGATTTGATGATTGAATTGGACTTCTGCCAACGTTGGCCGCCGAGAGACGCTTAATTGGATTGCCCCAGAGCTTATTTGCTTTGGAAATTCGAAAACGTTGCGCGTAGCGCTGGAAATAGACATGTATGCATGTGCTTGTGCGCTCAGGCTATACGAGGCAAGTGGTTTTGTTCTGTTCAAGTCATAGACTCATTGCTCCCTGCTTTAGATCTATACCAGAATCATGGAGAGAATATAATCGATTGCCCGAGGAAACGAAGGAGACCCTCGCTCCGTGGATTGAGAGAACCCATCACAAAACTTATTGAATGATGTTGGCATCAAGGCTACGCCCGGAAGCCCCCGTCGTAATCGAAGCACTGAAGAAGTGAAAAGGTTTCAATTGATTTCTTTGATAGGACTTTGAACTTTGGCGCGTGAATTCGGCAGTGTTTGGCCCGGGTCCCAGTCTTGTCTCTCACACATAGTAGTCTCCCCTGAGTCTTTCCGGTTGTGTACGAAGGGGACTGAGGAGTCATTTTCGGGTCGACTGTTTCCCAAACTCCGCTCGTCCAACTGTTTCTCCATACACGTGACATCCTTACTTCCGAACGGAAACCATGATGGGAAGGTGACCCTGAGCCACCAATATGACCTTTCGGGTCCTCATGAGGGTATCTAGCTTTCCATATATAACTGTGACAGTAATTACGTGAGCTGTAATCCGGAACGCTAAATAAAACAAAAGAGATCCTCTTCACAGCTGAAGAACGGATCTTTACATATGCAGAGCACATCCTGTCCATATCCTCCTATCCATATCCTCTTGATCGTAGTCTCCCAGTCACTGTGAAGTTTGGGTTAAATATGAGACAAGTATCACTCAATGGATATCTGTTGCTGAAGAGGAACACCGCCTGGGGAATATGATGACTGGCGCTCTGACATGATAGCGGTGGGTATGCACTGTGAGTTCCTGCCGAGTTCTAATTAAAAAAAGTTAATCACCCATTCGAAACACGTCCATAACGTGCGTCTTGACAGGGGTGTAAGACTGACCATGCGCCTTGGACTCGAGGAGTCCCTTGTCGAAGTCACGTAAACACTTGATTCCGATCACGAACGAGGCTAAGACGAGCAGGAAGGCGGTGACGGCTAAGTATAGTCGCCAAAAGTGGTTTAGCGTCATGATAAAACAGATTGAGATGTACGTGACTCACTGAAGACGGTTAATGTGGCGCGAGTTGAAACGTACTGGGCCTCAGAGGAAGGCTCATAGAAGCGAACGAGTTTGTACACTAAGGGTTGTGTCAACTCGCGAGATGATTAACACATGTTGTACACATACAGACTAGATTATGCTATCAGTTGCCAGTCAATGCATTAAAATGAAACGCCTCACAATAGGTCATCGCAGCCACCATCAATATAAGGGCCATGGTCATCAACCTAGTAGACAATTCAGATAATCACGCGAAGTGGACGTCAAAACTATCATACCATTTGACTTCATACTTGACAGCGCGTGCGCAACCGGCCAAAAGTAACAACACGACGGGAATCGCAGCGATAGTGACACCAAATTCAGCGGAACTCCCGCTGAGAACAACGATGAGAAGCTGTGAATTTTCAGTCCCTGAACAATCTTCAAGAGCCATGATGTTCACCTGCATGGTCACCCCCACGAAACAGAAGAAGTCGAATTTAAGTAAGCATATGAAGATTTGATAGAATTGATACATCGCTATTTCGAGTCAGCGCTACATCATCAAGAACGAACACGTAGCTTACACTTGAATTTTGGGTTTGCTCCAACGACATGGAAGATAACCCATCTGCAAGATGTCAGTAATGAGTAGTACAAGCTGTGGGACCATACCCGAATTCATCATATAGCTGCTTGATCCAAAACATCAAAAAGAGCCACGACGCAGCAATTATGCAGGGAGAGACGATTAGGAATCCTTGAACCTTATTCCATAGATGATTGGTATCTATGACGCAAGGAGGTACGCAATTAAATATAGCGACGTGGGTCTCATGAATTTGAAGAGCAGAAAAGACGATGAGAGCTCCATGGAAGACTACGAAGTATTCAGAAAGGAAGAAGCATCTTCAGACAAGTCGAGACTCACGAACGATCCCCATGAGCTGGATAATATTCCGTGACCGTAGAGCATCGAGTGCCATTATTAATTCAAATATCCTGCACTGTCGTCAACAGCTTGGGAATGATTGTGAGTGCAATTACATACTCTGCGAGGATAAAAAGAGCTAAGTAGCATGGCAATGTCTTCATGATGTGAGCGTTTTAGCTTGTCGATGATGTATGTAGAAAATTACCTTGTACCCAAGGTCTTCAAAGGTCGATCCTGCGTTGACTCGAACCTTGATGAAGCTGGTTAGTAGACGTATCGATTCGACTGCCGGAACTACACACTCACTATTCCGAATGTCAATGCAACCATAGTTACCACCACGATGGCCTCTATGGGCACCTAGGTCAAACCTAGATCAAAAAGCTTCAAAGAAACGACTAACGGACTGCGACTGTGGCAAAGGTTCTTGAATGGCAAGGTCACGAAATATTGTATGAAAGCGTACTTGTGATCATGAAAGCCTTTTGGGCTCTCGTCCCAAATAATGGTTCAACAGCCATGATGAAGCAGACTGTCAAGCCTTTGACCGGAAAAATAAGAGAAGTAGGCGGTAATTCCGACAAGATGAATGTCAGCGACGGTTCGTTCGGCTTGAGAGCTGCCAATGTGGCTGTGTTTTCCCATTGTGTCTAAATTTACCGAGCTTGACTTTTGTATACATACGCACAGGTATGCACCGAACGCAGTCTAACATTGACGTTTAGCTGTGGATGATCACAATTTAGCGTATCCGAGTCCTCGTCGTTATAGAACGATGGCCCCCATGTTCGAAGTTCGATGCCGCATTGCAATCATTGACTCGGATTGACCGTCACTGCAAGGCGCATCGAGTAGTGACGGCGTTCACCTCCATACGCCGGCCTCGACACCGTGTGATCAAGACTAGGTCAGTGACCGATGACTATACCTGCACGACATACCAGTACATTCGTATTACAACGTTCTCGTGCTTTATGGGATGTCTTCAGTCTTGAAAGCTTAACTTTATCATCACTGTGATCAACAATTATGTACCTCTCGCTAAGCAAGCAAGTTTGCAACACGACCTAACATGACTGGAATTGCCACCGTGGAATACAGCGACAAACCCAGTTATGACCTCAGAGGGCATTTCGATAAAAGTTGAAGAGTGTCACATCAAGCAGTATCTGCGTTTGTACTACGACCCCTGCACCATCACTTACCAAACGATCAGTGTTACCGGCGAAAATAGGTCGATGTTCACTGATCCTTTGTTTGTTTCCGTCAGCTTTGACCATCCCAAACTTCGTAATAAGTGTATGGGTCATGACATGCATCATCATGATTATGCTTGCAATGGGGCTGTTCAAATCTTCAATCCAACAGGATGTCGCGAAGTATCCGAGTGCCACATGAATACCAATGGTCCCAGATATGATGGAACCATCACGGTAGCACTAGGACGTTGACTCGATTTTATGAGGAAATCAATGTTATCAAATCAAAAATCATCTCCTCTTAACGTACGTTCTTTGACAGCCGCGGCTACCGATAATTCTTCCCTCCAAAGCGTCCGTATATTCTCGCACATCCAGGCAAGCCACCCGTCACTGCCACTGTGACCATATTCAGCACCCTCGCTCTCGAGAGTGTCCAGACTGGCCTGGGCTTTGGTGATAATTGTATCGCAAATCGTGATCAACAATTCCTTCCAAGCGAGTTCATTTCCATCGGATATCATCTCTCGTTTGCCTGCTATAACATCGCACCACGGTTGAATGGCGTTATGATGCATTGTATGATTTGAGACAATGAGACAATGAAGTCTTAATGCCGTAATCAAGCGCCAGGATGGTTGTGCTGATTCCGCTGAGCAATATAGGATCCAGTCTCTACGGTAACTCAATGAGGCAGCATGATTGACCAGAATTTGGAGGCTTACATACCCCCAATAACCTTTGTCTTGGAGGACGCTTTTGACGAAGACACCGGATTTGTGGTCGAGTATTAAGGATTCCACCACATCTTGCACGTCGACTTCACCATCCGTAATTTCAACGTTGCTCAACAACTTGTTGACAAAACCATATTCAATGAACAGCGTGCGGCTAGGATGGGCGCCGTAAGCCAAGAAGATCTCCTCGCCTTCTTGAACAGATGCATCCGCTGGCGAGAGAAATCCAAACCCAGTCGGTTTTACCGGCGCAGCGTCCCAAATATCGGCTTCCGATGGAGCTGGAATCATACTATGCAGCCCATTCGGGGTATGGTTGGCGAAGTCGAGGATGGGACATAAAGTTAGATTATCGGGGTCTTCCCGTGACGCTTTGAGACGGTAATATATGCAGCGCGTGTTGACTGGAGGCGAGGTAGATAAGGGTGTTTTATTCATGCAGAAAGTACGTGCCATTCAACCAAGCCCATAGGTAATTGCTGGTAGAAACGTCATTGTGGTCCAGATAGGCGTCATATTTTGAAGAGATGTACGAATTCGCAGTCTGCTATTGCTTTAGACGATGAAACCGAGTGCACGCGGTATTGAGTATTTCCTACCAAGTACACTCGGACTGCATCCCAGTCTTGATAAAATCGGTCATGCAGCTTAACCAAGGATGCATACACACTTGAGGGGAGGTATTTGAGCAGTGGGACACCACCAGTTTCCATGCCACGTTTTGATTGCACAATCCAGGTCAAAGGATGACTGTCGAACTCCCTAGGAAGTGTCGAAATGTATGGTCCATAGTGTGAGTCTAGTGAATCCTCACTTCCATGCGGGCGGTTGATATACAGATGCAGAGATATCATTTGCGTAGCGGTCAGTGGAGTGGGCCCAGATGTTGGATGGAGGGACTTTAACGTCCTGATATTCATCAATGCCTGAGGCGGCACTGCGAACAGCAAGGACGACGGCTGTCCTGTTTGTAAGGGCAAGATTCAATCCATTTCATCCACACGAAAGCTCACAGTACACAGGGTTCGAGCAAAAAGACCATTCCCGGCGGCTGTGTGTCCATGTGGGTATTAGATGAAGCGGTGGCCGTCCGACGAATAAAGTAGTAAATTGGTTGGTGACTCAACTGGGTGTTTCCTTGCACTCAACAAACAAATCGCCTGCTCCTGTTTTCATTCCTCGAGTCCTCAACCATATCAGCAGCTTGTGCCATCGACAGTCCAGTGATGGTTGTGCGTTGGAGATGATGCTTGTCATCGTGGAAACGTTGACGTTATTCCCAGTATTATATGCCACGCAAGGTCATGGGACTGAAGAAAACATGCATGTATGCGGCTCTCCGCGCCTATCTTAGACTTCGGACCGCCTGAGTCCATGATGGAAATTCCGGTTCCGCGATATGTCATTTAGATTTATTGCTTCTTCGCACATCTCTTGCATTCAACGATCAGATATCCATCGTAGAGCATTCGTTCACCCAGCAAGTTTATCAAATCCAGCCTTTTTGCAAACTCTTACTCGAAACATGACTGTCTTCAACGCATCTCGCCTTCTTGGCAAGACAGTCCTTATCACGGGAGCAAGTTCTGGTATCGGAGCGGTGGGTACAAACCTAGCTCTGAGGGGAGGGACACCAATACTGATCTGATCGGCTTATAGGCCACCGCCGTCTTGTTTGCCAAGGTAGTCTACCCTGACATGCTATATTTCTAATCATTCATATCTTGTAGGGGGGTTCCAACGTTATACTTACTGCTCGACGAGCAGATGCGCTACAGAAAGTTGCAGATGCTTGTACAGCTGCCCACAAAGAAGCCGGCCTGCAACATGGCGGCAAATTTGTCTCCGTACAAGTTGACGTTTCTGACAGGAATCAAGTCAATGGCCTCCTAGAAAGGATACCCGCTGATCTTCGCGAAATAGATATCCTCGGTGAGTGGATTCATCTGTTGCTATGTCCATTTTCTTACATTTGAATTCGGTTGCAGTCAACAATGCTGGATACGTCGTGGGTGTGGACAAAGTTGGCGACCTGTCTCTGGATAACGTGGAGGGCATGTTCGCAACTAATGTGTTTGGCTTGATCGCCCTGACTCAGTTGTTCATCAAGGGTGCGTATTTCAGCCATTGGTCATAAATTTCACTCAGTCTCGTAGACTTCAAGAAGAGGAAGACTGGACATGTTATTAACCTTGGCTCGATTGCCGGCAGAGAAGCTTATGCTGGGGGCAGCATCTACTGTGCAACAAAACATGCCGTCAGTGCATTTACGGGCTCTCTCATGAGGGAGCTTGTCGACACTCCCATTCGTGTCACCGAAATTCAACCAGGTGTGTGAGCCACTTTTGCAACCGGGGCTAAGCTTGAGTTGTTGGTAGGTATGGTGGAGACCGAGTTTTCTCTCATCCGCTATAAGGGCGATCATTCCGCGGCAGACAAAGTCTACGAGGGACTTCAGCCTCGTGAGTGGTTTTGATACGCTTGCAACCCGCATATACTCACATATCACAAAGTGGTGGCCGAAGATATTGCGGAAGAGATCGTCTGGGCCGCATCGCGTCCCCCACATGTCAATCTCGCTGAAGTCTTCGTGCTTCCAGTGAACCAAGCCAGTGCCACCCTCAATTATAGGGCGCCGAAGCTGTAATATCTCAATTCTGATTGACACTCGAAGTCATTGTATCATAGACATCCCCTACACTTCGATGAAAGCAAAGGACAATGTATCAGAGACATGAAGGATACAGCATCGACAAATGTGCATTAGAGCGTGAATAGAATATGCAGCTAGGCTAACCCTTCATTTTCTTGCTCTTCGATCTGGTGATTTTCGGGGGTACAACCTCCTTCACCACCACCTCAACGTCATTGTCATACACAAACTTCTTTACCACGATGTTCTCTGGGTGGAGGTCAGTGAGTGGATGCTGCCCGGCGTCTATTACGTTGCCCAGGGTGTCCAAGAGAAGATTCTGAAGGAAGATGAACAAGAATGTAGTACAGAAGTCATGCAAGTCACTTACCTTGGATGTTGGGGCTAAGCAGCTTTTCTCGATGATGAAGTCCTTAGTCCATGAGTGAGGTTGAGGATGGACCTCATCCAGATAAATTTCTGTGGATAACCCATGATGCCACTTCACCCGTTTGCTCTCTCTTTCCTCTTCCTGCTGAGGGCCTTCCCCAAGCCGCAAACGTTTGACCGGCCGGTCAGGCCTAACTGGCGTCTCATAATCCTCATCTTCTCCTGGTCCCCTACGATGCTTCGTCCAGATCACCCCATCATTTTCATCATGCTCCTTATCAAATCCGAAGATGGATTGATCAGCCAGTTCGCTAGCACCTTCACAGTCACTCAATCCAGGCCCGTCTTCACTTCGCCTCGCCCTCCGTTCAGCTCGCTCAAGTCGTTGCCGATCCCTCATCTCTCTCTGCTTTTGTGATATGGTCCGAACCTTGATTGCGGGGCTCTCTGGCCTAATGCCTTCCTTGCGAATTACCTCCCTTTCTAGTTTCGCAAAAATTTGCTGGTTCTTTGTGGTGTTGGAAACGGTGAGGGCTTGGAGGGTAACTGCGCTCATCCCCATGAAGCCATCGCCCTCAGAACGCCGTGAACGTCGAAGCTGGAGAGGTTGTGTTGAAGTGGAGGGACCAAAAACGTCGTTGGCATGCTGCGCTGCAGGCCTACGTCGAGACGTTCGACGACCCCGACTTCGGTTTGCTGGCGGCCGATGTGAAGATGTTTCTACAATTTCTTCGGGCTCAACAGCATCATGTGATGGCTTTGCAAGCTCAGGTTCTGGTAGAGCAGACGAGGAGGTTGAATTGGGAGGTGAAGATGATCGAGTAATTGGTGCCTCAGGTACGAGCAAAATCTGTGGGCTGCTGCTGCGGTCATCGGCGACTGGAGGGTCAGATGCAGACGGTTTGGTGGGCGCTGCATAACGTGCTGATATGACTCCGGGCTCAACTTTACGGAACTTTATAGGGCCAAGCAGCTTCCGAGGACTTGGCTCTGGTAGAGAAGGAGCCGTTGGTAAGAGTGTAGGTGCTTTGGGGGCATACTTGCCCCCGAGCATTCCGGGGACAATCTGGCGGACCATCACAGGATGAGTTGGTGAAGATGTGGCATTCTCTTCTATGCCACGCTTTCGCTTCAGTGTTGAGAGCACTGATGGCTCTGCTACAAATTTCCCATCAAACTTTCGATCTGGCGGTGGGGCGATGGCAGATGACTCTTCCGAGCTGCTACTGCCATTGCCAGCGGGAGCTGATTTGAAAAGTGGGACACGCTGACGAGGAAAATTCATGTCAGTAAGATCCAGCAACAAGCCCGTCTGGAGGACTTACCGGTCCAGTACCAAAGGCAGGCAACTTTGTAGCTGTAGACGAAGCCGGTTTTTTTGGCTGTGGTCTGGTATACGGCTTGGCGCCAATTCGTGGTATGCGACTGCCAATAGAGGGCTGTTTCAGACTCAATTTCACAGGACTGGACGTTGCCAGATTAGCAATCAAATCTTTTCCAATAGCCTCGGATCCTTCTGCCTCTTCAGGGATAGAGTGCGGGAGATCTGTTCCTGCCTTCTGCCCAGCTACAAGAGGGAACGGCAGTTTGGTGCTGGATCTCGATTTGGAAGAAAAATTAGGGAACATGGGCTCTTTGCCTTTGCCATCAGCGGCGCGGGGTAGTGGGTCAACAGAATGACTTCGGAGAGGCTGAGAGACAATGGGTTTCGGTTCCACTGAGGTACTTCGGGCCCTCGGACCTGCTGGTCGAGTTGGAGAGCGCACAGGACTGTTGAAATCTGTGATTAGAATACGCTTAGCGGGGCTACGTGATGGAGCGTCGAACGCAGGGCGCGAAAAAACGGGTCCACACATGCCCACCAACCGTGTCGACGCATCACGTTTCGCAGATAATAGCATTGTGTTCTGTGAGGATGCAGAGCCCTGTACGAAGGCATCTTGAATGGGCACTCTCCTCGCTGGCGTGCGAGACACATCGTCGACGGTCAAGGAAAACTTGAGATTAGAAGAAGAACCGAGTAGACTCCCATTCGGACGAGTAGGTGTTGGAGCGACAACCAATGGCCGCTGTACAGTGGCCGGGGGATAATTTGCTTGCTGAGAATTTGATTTTGGCCTCTGTGGTGTCAACAATGGAGGGTCCAAAGATACCAGAGAAATTTCACGCTGTGGTAGCGAATACTGTCCCTCTGGGAGTGGCGTAGATCGTTCGGATGGCAGCAAACGCGTTAAGACATCCGCGGACTGAGGGGAAAGAGACCCTAATTCTCTTTGGAAATTGGGGGTGGTGTCATGTTTCCCGTTTAATGCCCGTCTTCGTGATCGTCGTCTCTCTTTCTCCTCTACCAATCTTTGAATACCAGGGTGTGGATCTACATTACCGTAATCAGCAGTTTGATCATCCCGCATCAAGGGAATTTCCTCCTCGGGAGTGATTATTGTTGCCTTCCATTTTCCTTTGAGTTTCGGCGTTTCCGAAGGTTGCTGTGTGATGGTGGTCTGGATGGGGCGTGGAGTACCACTCAGGCGTGCTGATCGCCGCACAGGTGATCCTGCATGTTCCTTAGTGACATCTGGCGCATTGGAGATGGCGACTGATGACGAAGGAAAACTGGGGTGTGGTGGTCTAGATTCCATGTCAGCCGGTGCACATCCCTGAGGAACCTTATTTAGGCTATCCGAGGAATTAGACGGCTCTATGCCATCTACACGAGGAGGGGAAGGTATGATAGAAGGATGCTCTGGGGATTGCGAGAGGAGGTCATCTACGCTAGAAGATAAAGTTTGAATTGGAGAACCACGGAAACGTCCTTCTGCAGAAGATTTCACAGTCTTGACTAGAGTGGTACAAGATTCAAAGGAGATGAGATCGGGCTGAGAGATGTTACCAGCAGAATCCTGTGGAGGAGAATTCTGATTATAGGAAACCTGATGCTGAGATGGTTCTGGCGACAAAGCACGTTCTGTCGGGGAGAACTGGCTCAGTCCCTCGCGCAAATTTATGGGGCGAAACGGGCTAGGGGGTACAGATATATCTGGGAATGGTGCGTGCCCATCCCTCGTCACAAGCCCAAAGTAAATGGTGGGATGAGCCCGCGGAGGAGGGGAAGGATTATCGCAAGCCCGCATAATTCGGCTTGCAAGAACGGAGGATGGTTCTAGAAGTTCATGTTTGGAATTTAGCTGCTAGGAGCAGACGAACAGAGCTCACCGTTCTGGCCCAGTAAATCATTCTCAGGTGTGTCTTCACGGGATAGATGAGCAGCCACATCAGAGATCTCATCTGCATCTTCGTCGTTTTGTTCGACACCTTCATCCGGTGCGCGCGTGATTTCCTGTGGCGATGGAAGGGCGTGGAGAGCAGGCAGTTCCGATGGATGAAGGAGAGAGTCGACGGTGCCAATATTGAGTACATCTCCTCGCGTGACCTCGCTAGCGATGAGTCTCTTCTCCGGTGATTGCACTGGACCGAAGTAGACTCTCGCAGTTGAACAATTGACAGCATCACTGTCGGTGGAAGCAGGGGAGTTGGTATTGTCGGTATTCATCAAATTGTCCACGATTGTTGCAAGGTCTATGGACGTTAGACGGGGAGCAGTAATACATTCAGTACAGTGAAACAGCAAAAATTGTTCCAGGCCTTGAATATAGCTGAGTGATGATCGACAATCGACCAAAGCTGCCGTACTGTTGGCTGTTCACGACATGCACAACCAACACAAACGTCCATGTACGCCGCGTCACACGTGACTTATGCCACCAACATCTCAACCATCACTTTCACTTTGAAAGGGTTGCACAAAAACTTCTCAAAGGGGTTTTTTCATCTGAAAAAATACAACATGCATGATACGGTGTCTTCGATTTCTAAGGATACAGGACAAGACAAACACAAAGTCGAGCAAATATAATACAGGGTACATGGGCCACGCCACTAAAACGTTGCTGCAGGCGGGATCACGAAATGATGCTGCATGCTGAACTTACAATCTACAGATCTATGCGAGAGGATGCAAATGGGCGTCTTGCACTATACGTATGATGGGAGTCCTTTGTCTAGGTTGAGGGCTTTCGTCAAGGTAGTGCCTCCACCTCCATCGCGGTGGTCCGTCGTTCAGCAGAAGGATTTCGACGGGCGGATGTGATCGATGTCACACGATAATCTGCCTCATGTGAGCTATCCTGATACGTTTGTGTCAGCTACATCTGTATTAATGTTCCCTGTACAGACTGATGATGCTACCCACCAGTTGTTTTTCCTTGGCAACTTGAAGCAGTTCGAATGTTCGCATCTGCATAGCAAAGGACGACTTCATCGTCTCCAGCAAGCCTCTATAGTCAACATTTTCCTCCTTTACAGGAACCGCTGTCGGCGCAGATGATCCCACCCGACGACGTTTCAAATCTGGTGATCGCGACAGTGCCTTGGGCCCATGTTCAGTAGCAGCAGCTCCATCCTCTCTGTCGTCGTCGGCTGAAGTGTTTTTCAACTCCGACAGCTCGTCCAGTTCCCCCCAGGATTGGTCCCGTGCCTTTCGTTTGAGCAGGAGCGGGCTGTAAGGTCGAAAACATGACTGCAGAGCCACATCCGTTTCTGTGTTCAACAATGCAATGGCGCGCTCCAAGTTGATATCTGTCGTTTTGACAATCGTTGTCACAACATTTGAGAGCAAATTCTCCCACAGAGAATCCAATTCTCTAACTGCGCGTTGCCACGCGCTCTTTGGATTTCGCATGACTTGTTATAACGGCTGCCAAAGCAGGAGTCACCGCCATCGCAGTCGACGGCGCAGCTTTAGAAAGCTCTGTAGACAACTCTGTGAACGCCTTCAATTTATCTTCTTCCTTGTCAAGCTGACATGAATCTTGAACCAGCTGGCTGCACAACCTGTTGCTCCTTAGTCCTCCCATATGCATGAACCACATAGGATCGTTCTCTTACTTTGCAAGACGACTAGAGAACTCGCCAATGACGTCGTTGGACTTCTTTTTGTCGTCTCTCGATTGAAAAAATGGGTTTCCTGGTGTTGTCTGAGAAGCGTCTGGACGGTCTTTGCCGTGGCGAGTGCCATTCTCGGGATTGTCGCCTAATTCCATAATTGAGGACCGGGTTGCATGCTGATATCTGTCAGATTAGATCTTGTCGTCCGTAGAGCCGACATAGAATACTGACCCCTTCGGTTTTCTTAGATCGCCTTGAAGAATATGATCCCCTCTCGTCTTCAGCCCTCTCCCGGGAAGACTTTCGGACATCCCTGGAGCGATCACGCTCACGCACATAACGTTCCCAAGAATCGAAGTCCCTATCGCGGCGGTCACGTTGAATAGGTTTTACCTCACGGTCGCGACCGCGCTCTCTATCTACCTCCCCATGATTTCGCCTGAACAAGTCAGACTGTGGCACGAGCGGCGATGAACGAGGGCCTCGTTGTTGAGGACTTGTCGACGACGCTTTTGGCTTGTGTTTTGGTTTGGTCTTGTGTTTTTCGCATTTGGTATCATTATAGGCAGACTTTTCGGGGTTGATGCGGCCTTTATCCCATTGAAGATCAGATGGATGAATAAACCTGCAGATCGCCAAGTTAGGATGTGTACATGTTGAGATGGGGAGCACGACGCGTACCGACAACGACTCCCTTGGTTGCAGAACGGCTTCACACCTTTGCCATGCTCATCAAAATACTGTTAACAGAGTGGTCAACCCAGCGGACGCGTCTAACGCGTCAGCGGAAGATCGATCAAGATTAAACTTGGGAAAGGTACGTACACGACAGCGCATTGTCTTGTAGAGCGACATAATATTGGTACAAAGCTACCCACTGGCAGTAAGAGAAGGGTGTGTTGTGGTGGTTGAGAGTAGGTGCAGAATGATGGAGAAAAGGGCGGGCAGGTTAGCTTTATAGTGTGGGCCTCGTCCAGGGGCGTGACGGAGCGCGTGACTTGTCCGAAGCTCAAGCTTTGCGAGCTTCTTCGATGCTTCCGTTGCACCTCACCGCCAGATGGACATCCGATCCCCAATGTTATCCACGACAAAATGATCTCTTGAGCTGGCGACTTTGTATTAGTATCATGTTTAACATTCCCGCCTGATGCGATCAGTCATCTTCAAGTTGCCATCCGAGCTAGTACACGACTGAAGTGTCTAAAGATCTAGTTTTTTTGGTCCAGCTTTCATTCATGCAGTTGGGAAACCGTGTTCGATATCACAACGATATTGTGCAATCTGTCCAATGCAATAGCGCGCGTGTTGATCCCCTCTGCACGAGGACTCGAGTTGTAAAGGCGCCGGCTTCTCACAATTGACTGCTTCCGGTTTCATCGCCTCGCACTAATAGAAATCCGTCTTGTCCTTACCCTGCAAGCAACGCTTGCTCTGCCGTTCCCCATCGCATTCTCTTGCTGCCTAATATGAGCTCATTTTTCAACTGGTGGAGTGCAAGCTATACCACGGAAGTACGATATTCTAAAGAATCTCCTCTGGTAGTCACAAAAGAACAACATTCGAATACAACCAGTGTCGGTCTACGCGATTTCGTGGAGCGACGATGCCCCTCACTCTATTCGGAGTTTCGTCCCGCATGGTGGTTGCCAAAGTACGCCAAAATAACATCATTATTGAGTTTACAAGTCGTTCATGCCAAGTCAGCGGTCATATGCAGACTCTCTATTGCGTCCTCGGAAAATTTTCAGCTAGAGATAAGGTGGTGTATAAACGGTGATGATATTCATATGAACGTTCGACAATGGACTCTAATGCGATAAGTTAGGACCCTGCTCCGCCTGCTTGACGGCGGAACCCTGTAAGTTCATTTCCGGCACCTGTCTTCGATGATATGCTTCATATCAACTAGGGGTTTAGATTTCACACCAGTGGATGACAGCCATTTGCCACCCGATACTCCAATCATCGTCGTCTTGCATGGGACTCACAGGAGGTATGAAGACTTCTACGCGATAAACAACTAGAATCTAATCGTGTAAACCTTCTCAAGGTTCATATGAATCATACGTGAGAGCTATTCTCTCTCCCGCGTGCATGCCGGTCCACCAAGGCGGACTTGGATATCGTGCAGTCGTGGTTAATTTCCGCGGATGTCAGTTCTCATCCTGAATAGACCTACAAACATTGTCATGGAGTTAATTGTCCCGCAGGCGCAGGAGTCCCGGTTACGAGCCCACAGCTCTATTCCGCTGGCCATACAGATGATCTCCGTCAAGCTTTATTCTACATATCTCACCGATACCCGGAGGCACCTTTATTGGGATTGTCTTTCTCTCTTGGAGCGAACGTGATGACACGGTATGTCGCGGAGGAAGGAGAACGTAGCCGTTTGAAATCGGCATGTATTCTCGGATGCGTACGTGCTTCGCAGGTTTAAGCTTGAACGGTCACAATTTCATTTATCAAGGAAGCCCTGGAATTTAGCGGCGAATGCCTCCAAGTAGGTTCAACATCCTTCTTACGGATCCGTTTCCTGACGCTAGACAGGCTCTTCGCCACGTATATAGGACGTCATGTTTACTCGAAAGGCATGGGCCGGAATTTGGTTAATCTTCTGAAGCGGCATCTTGGCACATTTAACCCCGATCATGAGGTCGCTAAAGCTGCCGCTGTGACTATTGCCCTCACTAATCCCACGATCGACTTGTTTGACGAACACTTCACGAGAATTGGTGGTGGTTCTTCGCCTCCTTGGCCGTTCGCGTCAGCAAATGATTATTATGAATATTCATCAAGCCACAATGTGCTCAGCACGATAAAAATCCCACTTCTAGCCATCAACGCTGCAGATGACCCTGTGGTTCAGGATGTGCCTATGGATGTGGAAGGTGATGGGTGGGTGATTATGGCCCTGACACCCTGCGGTGGACATCTTGGATGGTTTGAACCAGACGAGGGATGGGGACAGGTCAGGCGATGGATCAAGCGCCCGGTAGTTGAATGGCTGCGTGCAACAGGAGAAGACTTTGTTCGTTCGCCTCCACGTTGGCGACCATTGCACGAGGAGGGCGGCTTTCTCAAAGAGGTTGGCATCGATAGGCTAGGGTGCAGAGAACTAGACGGAAGCAATATCATTGTGGGTACAGAGGGAGAGGCCGGGTTGCTGGCTGGGTTGTAATTTGAGGAAACAGATATACTGTCAGATTTCTTATTTTATTCTAATCACTATCGCTAAACTGTACTCCATCATCATCGTCATCTTCATGTGCGCGCAGTTGGCTCCTGTCGTACTGGCTAATATCAACAGAAATGGTGCCTTCCTCCACGAAACTGTCATCATCGTGCTCCAAGTTCTTGTTCTTTTCAAATAATTGGCGACCTGATCAAAATTAGAAGATGTTGTCAAAATACACTAGACTCCGAATTACCTGTTGGTCGAGTTGCTGCACGTTTCCATTCTTCCCTTTCTTTCGGCGAGAGTGCGCGCAGCCTTTCTTCTTCGTCTTTTGCCTTCTTTTGCGCTATTTCGCGGGTAAATTTAATCTTCCATGCCTTAAACGACTCCACTGTGACTGGGGTTCCGCGAGTCCTCGCTTCTTCCGCCTGGTAATGTGAACTCCTTGTTATCCAAATGACACACTCGACTTTACCTCAATCGCCAGGCGTTCCTTCTCATTTTCCTCAGCCATGAGTTGATCTGCCCTTTTACGAACGAGGGACGTCATCTGTTCTCTCAGATGAGAGACAAGGGTAAATGTCATGGCCATGCCGACATTCTCTTCGCCCTATCGATCACCATGAGATCTGTCATAGCATCCTGAAGACGCCACCCACAACTTCCGTAAGACTCTCCAGCAGAGCTTCGTGTTCAGTGTCTTCAAGTTCACCCTCGATCGCTACCAACGTCAGGTGAGGCAGGCTGTCAGGGTATTCATCGGGGTAATGGACGGATAGCTGTAGTTTGACTGTTTATAAAGTTTCAGGTCCATGTAATGGTGAGGTTTGACGACAAATCTCACAGGGATGCTCGTTATCTATCGTTTCATCTGGCTCGACATCGATCTGGATCTCCCTATCCGAAACAACTTGGTAAGGGTCTTAGTGAACTGATTTGTGGTCAAGATCGGTAAGGACGAACTGGAAAGCTCTGTAGGGTATATTGATTCAAGTACCTAAACATGCATTGAGCACAACACGAAGCTCTGCGACAAGAGGAATAGACCTCAAACTCCTCAGTAAGAATCTCTGCGGACATCGTTGTGTTCAGGAAATTATCCGATTACCGATCATAAGGTTTTGACCAAATATAGACAACATACTAGTGAAAAGAATCCGTGTCAGGCTTTCAAACCCGACGGCCATGTCCTGGTTACGAGGAATAACATCTGCAGCATTGTGCAGCACTGCACGAGGAGTATGTTCTCAAAGACCTAAGTTGCAGGCTCGAATGCTCTCCAACGTCCTTCACCCACCCGACCTGCTCGACAAAACCAAGAGTCAGGACCGCACCTGGACACAGGTTTTTCGGGATACCTTAGACCGCACAGCAGGAACAGTCCAAAAAAAGGAACTACCAACCCCAGATGAATTATGGGCTGAACGGAGCCGGAGTGCAACTTTCAAGGCTCCAGCTGATCCGTACACGGGTTTGTTCCCTAGCACTCTAGGTCATGTTCTCGCCTAATCTCGACCTGTCCAGGGAGAAGAGTTCTTGTGCACAACAATGACTTGGGTGAAGCATTTAGGAGGTTACAAACTCGTCTCAGACGGAATCGTGTAGTTCAGGAGGTGTCGCGGCAAAGACGACATGAAAAGAAGGGCGTAAAGCGGAGACGCTTAAGCAGTGAAAGGTGGAGAAGAATGTTTGCCAACGAGGTATTCATTATTATTATTTTGGCCATGCACTTTCAGGGTTGTGCTCATGCTTGTGCAGGTGCGGAAGAAAGTACAACTTGTTAGCACTATACGTCGTCGTGGAGCCTACTAGGACATCAGCGCATCCTCTTTTCCTTGCAATCAGTGTCACCGGTGTCTTCATATATTTCCCGTTCGGAGTCTTTCCCCGCGGGACACTGGCGTGCAAATTTACATACCTTGCCAACCTGTTTTTGGTATTATAATAATTCTTCTTTCATGAAACAAAGGCCGAAGCCGACGCGTTGGGTGCGTGGCGATTTGTGAAGTAACAAATTCTCGCCTTTTCTCGCCCTTAGTGTTCTTGGTCTAGATTCACGACCTCATTTTGCCCACTCCTCTATCAGTATACATAACTAATCTCGGAACAGGTATAATCAATCTAATAGCCCGAGTGACGAGCCTCCTAGTACCAGCCCTTTCCAGCTCCTCCATCTAGGGGGAATGCCCTCCGGGGATGCATTCTTATTCAACTAGTGCCGTCGCGGGACACGAGGCCGCCCCTTCCGACCTCATGGCTGCCACGACGAGCGATTAAGTCAGAATCTATTGGTCCCTCGTACCGTGTGCTGATATTCTGAATCAAGACACGACTACCACGCCTTTCCGTACTTCATTGCGAATCGGTTCGGTACCGTTCAATGGAAACTTGCTGGCTTCTGGGAGCTAGTTATGTGGCGTGACTGTATCACTGTTGTGAATTGGGGCCCATTTGGAGTAAATGCAGTGGAATGCATGTTACAAAGGGTGATCGGAAAGCTCAACGACCCTACGGCCGGCGGTTGCTCACTCACTTTGAAAGGTAAAAAGGCTGCCTAGCGGCCTCTCGATGCTCTTGGATTTCACGACGCATGTTGCCGCAGGAAGGAACGCGATCCCCACGCGACATAGGATGATGTACGAATTTCCTCTACATAAGAAGCCCGCACCTAACGACCAAAAGTCAAGTTACTAGTGCAATCACCTACCGCGGCTACCACTAAAAAGCTCTACTAAAAAGATCTCACCCATTCCGCGTCGGAGATGTGTCACAATGTTCGTCGGTGCTCTGATGTTGACCCGGCCCCCGGATTGACCTGCTTCTTTCTATAGATCATTGATGGTCGATACCACACCGAATGTAGTCATTTCATTGCCATGTCGACGAAGTTCCAGGACTGTCTGCGACCGAATTGTCTCTTCAGTTCAAGACATGTCCATCTCACAGGTGTGCCTCTCGACTGTTTCTCATTTGTAACGCACTGACTTTGTTTTAAAGCATGCAGGTCGCAAAGTTGTATACGGTTGATGGCCTTGCCTTGCAAGAATCCCATTCGCATAAGTCCTTCAAAATGCGGCGACTGTGTCTTAAAGACAAGAGATGAAGTAACGCCAATGGTCCGAGTAGCTGGGATGCGATAATGGATCACAGTTTGGTCCCTGACATAGATATACCATACGACCGCTGCTTTAATGCTGATAGTGCCGGCGACGCAGCCCGTGTTTAACTCACTAATTACAAGGAGGTTAATATTTTGCGATACATAATGTAATCATGGCTTCAATTGGTGTGGACTTTAGTTCTCGTAACAACCACGGATCCCACGGTAACGTCATGCCAAACTGGTCACAATTGACCTTCAAGTTGTTGTTCTCCGTTTGCCTACCGACAACTTGTTACCACAGACTGTTCCTTGTACTTTTGTGTCTGGCCGCGTACAATAACCATCGAACAACTATATATTTTGATACCTAATGACATGCCTTCAAGAAGTTTACCCGAATCCCCCGCTCATCCTGTGCATGCGTTCTGTGACTCGTTCACAGTTAAAACTTTACGCTTATGGCTTGGAGAGCTCCTGATAATCTGAGATTCTACATACAGGAAGCGCGCCTCGTGTCCATCAATCTGAGCTCATCTCAGCCCAGCGTTGACGCCGCTCTACACGCTCTTCCCCGCCGATACAGGAAGCTAAGAGCAATCTATCCACTTCGGCTCGAGCTATTCAATGAGTATTGTCAAGACTGTACGAATTCTCATGATACGGTTTTTCCAGGTCTGAATTGTTGTTAGGGACGGACGAATTTGTTCCGTGCGTGTCGCTCGGGGAAGAAGACGAGGACAAAGAAACGGGTGAGCGCTTCACGGTGCCTTGCCCACCTTTCTATCAGATTCCGTCTATCAGTCTAGCCCGGGCTGATAGCCTCAAGCGGTAACAATCATGAACTTGACTCCCTGCCGTTAGCTAATCATAATTGAAGATTGTTCACGTGGATAGATCTTCTTCCGTTGGAAACCGTGCGACGAGCCGTGCATCTCCTCTACCCTGAGACAAAAGCTTGGTCCTTTGCTTCTGATGCAGATGACACGGATCACGCCCTCCTCAAATGTATAACGTGGTCCCAACTAGTGGATTATGATGATGAGCGGCATTGTCGGAATGCCATGAGCATCTTCATTCAGCCCCCTTGGATCCTCTCTGACCGCGATCTTGACCTATTTTGCAAACGCCAATCAGTAGGGACGGCTAACAGTATCGAAGGATTCGCTGCTAACGTATGTCACCAGTCCTTTGGGTCATCTTCGTCGCCGTGGCACGAACGTCCTACTGCACCCCATGAAAGGCTATGGTGGAAGGTGAGACGCCGCTGCTCTTGCTGATGAATTACATACTCACGCCACCCACCAGTTATGGGACTGCTGTATCACCAGAAGCTGTCCATGGTTTGTCGTAAGCACTTATACGCATTGGGTCTTCGGAGTATTCTCGAACGGTGAGCTGGATTTAGTCGCCCAGCAGTGTTTTCCGCTGAGCCTCGGGATTTAGGGTGGACTGCAGCGTTTGTTTCTCCAGTGTACTGCCATGACTCTCACGATCCATCTGTTTTACAACTCCTACTATTCTGGCTTTGTTCAGCAATGGGGCTTCCTGGAGGTTGGGAGGTGCCAGAAGTTCGCATTGAGCCAGCTTATCCTAGTCATCATCTCACAGCCTCAGTATCCGATCTCGCCGTCACTGATAAGTCGAAATTGACCCTCTGGGCTGGAGATGGGTAGATCCGCGTCATTCGATTCTATTTGTTTGAAGCAGGTCGAGCATGCGCGCTCACTATTATTGTAGGTCTACCGATCTGTTGTTTCCCTTCCAATTTGAGAAGGTTACGCCGAGTGCTTCGTTTTCATCTTAGCCACCACGATAACTATCCTCTAGTACTCCCGATCAGTTAAAAACAGCCAAGGCACCTCCAGGATTTTCAGAGATCTGATTGTAATTCAATGTAACACGTCCCAAAAATAGATGAACAGCAAATCACTATCATTCATCAGTCCGTCTCCCACAAGTATAAACGTTGCTCCAGAAATTCTTTGCGCGGCCGTGAAGTCTAGCTAAGATCCAGCCGGCCTATTATTTTCTTTGCTGGTTCTGGGAGGGCCCTTTCCAGCTGTTCAGCAACGTGCAATGGTGTCTTGGCGGGCGTATTACCCCCGTATGATGAAATTGGTGTTCTGTTACTGGTGCCTGCGGGGGGGAAAGATGCCGATTGCGATAATAGCTGTGGAACCTGAGAGAAAGGTTCATAAAGTGTTGGGCGTAGAGAACTTGTGGGAGGGGAAATCTGTGAACCTTATTTCAGACCGTGCAGGGTCAATACTACGGTGGGTCATCAAACCATAGTTAAAGGCGCCACATGCGGCGCGTTCTGCATATCTTGGGCTGAATAGTATTCAAGCAGTATGCCCAAGGCATCTAACACGTACCCAAATTCCTCAGTTATGATTGGTTGCCAGTTCCGATCGACCTACCTGAGACCTTGGCTATGTCATCTTCTGTGAACCCGTAATATTCAACTGCGAAGCGAGAAGCATCAGGTGAAGCGGGTTTATGAGAAGGAGGTGTCGGAAGGGATGCTGAAGGCGGAGATGCGGAGATTCGGGCATCCAGAGAAGCTGAATGAGGCCCATCAACAGCTCGCTGCGCCAGAACGTAGCAAGTACATGCGATGATACGAGGAGGGAATAAGATGCATAATGGTGTCCGATAACTGGCACATGAATTGAGACAATGATTCGCCTCTGTAAGTTTGAGACGACTGACTTACGAATCGTGAGCAATACTCCAGGCGTAATCATGAACTCGAGAGTCTTCCTGGTAGGCATCAAAAAGATCGATTAACTCGGCGTGAGGGCTCGGGGCTACGAAATCAAAGCAAAGCGCCTCGAGGAGAACTTCTTCTGTGAGGAGAATGACGTTTTGTAGCTGATCAACTTCCTGGGGACAAATGAGCTCAGTTGGAGCAAGAAGGACATGTTACATGCTGGGCTCTCGCTGTGTATGAGGGAAACATCTTTCCCTGTAATCTTAGCCTGACAGACTCTTGCGACGTCGCGAAGCTTGCGTCCACACTCCTCCGTCTTTGTTGCAAGGAATATACAGGAAGCTGCAACGTCCTAGAAGGAACGTCGTCCGCATCATTTAGGAATTGTGAGATAAGAATACCTGTCTGTGATAATCTTCCATGGAATATCTCATAAAAAAGCGGTGAAACCAGGTCGCGGCTGTGAACATGGCGGAAGTGGGCCTGCGGAATGAAACGGGGGTGAAAAGAAGATCGAGAGGCAGTAATTGACAAAGGGCTAACAGTCCAAGGGAAGAACCCAGACGGAACAAAAATTCGACGCCCCTAGATCGATCATACAACTCCTTCGCGACGGTGTAGGATGATGTGACAACACTTGGGGTCAGCTGGAGAGCTGATATCGGAAATACCCACTGAGATTGCATGATATATGTGGTGTTGTCACCCAAAGGAGAGAGGTAAAAGAAGAGGAACGCCACGATTGCCTAAAGATCACGTAAAGCTGTGCAAGTTCTGAGATGAGGCCCCCTAGCGTGTTCACTGCCTCCGAGTCGAAAACTTGGAATTGTTCTCAAATTTCGGGTGAATGGCGAGTGAAAGTGCACGCTGATCACTCGAAAAGTATTCATTCAAATTTTAGTTGAACCGAGCACGCATGGTTGTATTTTCAATTCTAGTTTATCCCGTCTCCGTGACACAGGTTAACAAATCCCGCGTTCGGGGACAATCAGAATTACAGCAAAGTGGATTCTGAGTTCTTTCCGAAACTTACAGCCGCGGATATTCATCTCCTCCCTCACCGTACACAGCGAGGTCTGCCTCGTGTCCAAGTTCTGGCCTTGCCATCCCTCTGGTAGGGGTACCTTGGAAATCAAGGAATCCCCTTGCTTCACGATCAAATTTTTCTTATTTCCGCTTACTTCGCTACTTGTCTTTCTCCGAATATTTTTGACAAGCAGAATCACCAGAAGCCCATTTGTACTGTGCTCAAAGTACTAGTATCATCTATTGTGTGACGTGCCTGTCGCACGCCTTCTGATTCGGGTTGCTCTCTAAAGCTTGTAATCCCTCCACCACACCACCCCCAAACTAAATCTCATCAATTGGTATAGGTTTGAGTAGCGAAAATCCTCAGTGGGGATTACTCCGCTTGCTTGTCCTTACCTCCTACATGAGCCAATTGTTACGAAATAATTACAACAGTGGCCGAAGTCGCTCCCTCTTCTCCCCTGGTCGACTTCGCATCTCGTTCTTTCATATCTTGTACGATGGCAAGCAGTCAGGATGATCAACAAAATATATCTTCATAAATCACTAGAACAATCATCAAGATCTGCCAAAACATATAGTGGAAATTGCAAGAAAATGTCATATCCATCGATCTTTCCGCACCGCTATTCTAATCACCGATCATCGATGCATCCTCATCGCCATCGTCCAAATATTCCCAACAACTCTCTCGTCCTATCTACTGTAACGCCCTCTGGACGTCAAACCTTATCGGCCTTTGCCCGCCTGTATGCAGCCAGGACAAAGCGAGTCGATGAGGCGGTCTGCAACATAGTGGTCAGCGTCGAATCAGACATGCCCTCATAGCGTTCAAGCCTCACTAAATTGTTGGGGGAACTGTCGACTATGACGTGTCAAACGATCTAGTCAGCTTTCCGACCCTTGCAAACAACAGCCACGAGGTACCCACTATTGCCAGCATGTTGTCGTGCACGAAGGCGGCACGCAAGTACTCGAATGAGATGAGCTAAATTTGCAATAACGATCATCACATCGGATCTAAAAGCGTGTGAGCAGTATGTTTTCAATGTTTATGTCTGTAGCTAACCATTTCATCGGCCTGAATAGCGTCAACCATAGCAAAGACATCCAACCGAATATGCTCACCAGGTCGAAAACATGGCCGCATTGGCTGTACGTATTACGAACTCTGAACAGAAGACAGGGACCAGAGTAAGCAACGACTCAGATCATAGGTCAGGCATTGACCGACCTTCGCCAGTGACACATGGGGAAAAGTTGGAAGATGAGAGTGGACCTGGGATTGTTGGACGAAATAGCTGCCTCTTTATAAGCCACAGGACAAAATCAAACTAAAGCGAAAATTCGAGAACAGGTGATGCAGATCTCGTCGGGAAATCACTGATTTAGCATCGGACCGTTCGAACAGATCTATAGCCAGCTAGTTGCAGCGTCAACGTGTGGCACGGAGGAACCATCTGATGCTCCTCGGAACAATTTTGGCTCCACCAGTCACTCTGGGATATACATATCGGGACAGCCAGTTGAGAAATTTGGTCCCGTTTATCTAGCGAATGGGTTTGCTAAAAAGCTAAAAACCCAAATGAGTCTCCACAGCGGCGACAGCCGAACTTCATCTAACGAAGAGGTGTTTCTGCCCGAGTTCGAGGATCAAACACAACAAGTTGCATCATGCGTCCACTCACTCGTTGTCGGGACGGCATCCCGAATATCTTACATCACTGCCCGGGAAGCATTAGAATCTTTTATTGTATTTTTGAGTGGCGCTGCAATTGGAAGACGTTATAGGTTGAGGGATTCCGTTCTACTCCATTTTCCTGATAATTTTCAAAGTAGTCTGGGCAGTCTTCGGAATTCCTTTGGAAGATTTGAGCAGCTGCTCCCGAATATTTTGCACCAGTCTCGCGCTCATATCGCGACCTGTCACATTATAATTCCCGAAAATACTCACCTTTATCATCCAGAATCAGACTGATGGCCCCGAAGTATTGGGCTGGGTCTCCCGCAGGATTACGCATGTTTCATCTCAAGGGCGGCCGCCAATGCGGTTGAACTCCAGAATAATTTGACGCTCCTCCTCTTGATTAACCTTGCACCACAGAGAAGTTCCCTTTACACGCATGGTGATCTGCAACTGATCTTGAAAGTGATAAAGGCTAATTGTAAACTCTATCGTGCCTATCGGCGGATGAAGGCGAAGTTTGGTGATGAGGGATAAACGGACAATTTTATTATCCTGCAAACATCCCCACAACATATTGGCTGACCCCTTCAGGAGTCAAGCTGCCAACGTCGGAGAATACCAGTGTAATCAGGTCCGGCCTTGTATTCCTCCATCAGAACGTGTTCATGATACCATCAATTCACACACCTGGTATAGTCCACTCCAGGGTTGCACGCAATTTGTTCGTGCGTCATTCGTCGTATATAGTCGGTATTACTGGACTGTTCATTTGTTGATTTGATCGCGCCCACGGTAGAAGGGAACCCAATACTACCTCCCGAGGACAACGGGAAAGACAAGATATTGGATGTGTGCGTTGGCAGGTCATACTGTGATAGTGGGAATAGACGATGGAATTTGTAACTGTAAATCCAGGATTCCATGAGCTCCGGAGAAGTGCATCGCGATACTAAAATTACCTCTCAGCGAGGGCATAAAATGGGATATTCGCGGCTTGTGCAATGATTGCGATCTGGTTACTACCGACGGCATTTATCAGGCCGCCACTTTCTACGACAGCTTCTGATCCCACTAGAACGAAGTCTACCTTGTCCATGACATATGAGACTGCCGAATCTAATACTACCGTGCAGGGTATACCGGCGGCAGTAAGTTCTTCGTATGTTCGCAAGCTTTCAATGAGCACATTAGTCTTCTTTGGAGTTACAGAGCATAAGAGCGAACCCTAAGCCTCGAGGCCGTGCTTCGGTCACGTAGACCGATATTCTCTTTCTCTCGTGGGCACGGAGCAGGGTTTTCATCACGACTCTCGAATAGGAATGAGTCAGGATCTTCCCGTTGACATGAGGGATCATACGACGAGGAAGCACGTGCAGAACATACCACCGAGTCATCTTTGATGAAACCGAGCGCAAGGCTCGCAATTTTATCGCGATAAGTGAGAGCCTCAGCAGCATATTTTTGGCCTTGTCTGACGAACTCTAGTTTAAGATCGGAGAAGCTCTTTTGTGATTGTCAGTCTGAGAAACGAAGATAGGCGGACGGGACTAACTGCCGAATCATGCGGGAGCAATGTGACAAACGCGATGAACAATTCGCACCCAGCGTTCAAACTGATTGGATTAGAAGTCGAGGCCTTCAAAGCTTCTGCACCGTCATTTAGAGCTTTCACTAGCTCAAGCATGGTCCCGGCTGTCATCTTCTGAGTTAACGTGGCACTATAGGAAGGAACATGACACGATACCATCGGATGTCTCGATTAGTTTGCTCAGGGAGAGAATCGCAGCCAGGGGAGGCGATAGCTGGTCTTTGTATGAGCATTACAACAATGACGAGATAAGAAAGTTGCACCTCCTCATTTTTTAGGAATGAAGCGTAAGTTTCGCAGATATCGAAAGAAACCACATGGGATGCAGATGCAGATGCTGATGTGTTTGCCTCCGTAGTTGCAAGACCCGGCATGTCAAAGGGAGCAATTTGAAGGTACTGGGGAGGTATTAGCGTTCCTTCAATTTCGTTCCTTGCACAGATGATGGATGACTAGTAGTACATATGACTCCAAGATCACGTGAGATCAGGAACATATATGGGCGCTTGCAACTTTTCGGTGAACATCACTGTCGACTCAGAGCGTAGGTACTGCACGGATCAACGATTGAGACACTCAGGGATTTTATTTAAAAGGTAGATACAACAACCTTGAGTAGTTGACATCCACGCAATGCTTTATTATCACCCAAACTGTTCCTGTCACAAGTCATGAATTTTTGAAGGGAACGCATATGGTCGTACGTAGCAACTCGGAAGGTGACAGGTGGGATGCCGTGGACAGCCTGCTGTTTGACAATGTGACACACAGAAATTTCTTGGCTCCCGCGCCTGCGAAACTATTTAGCCATGACTAGTGCGGGAACACTGGGGATCACATTTAGTACTCTTTGTCACTAGCTTTGGGCAGTCTTTGTCCTTCTAGCTTTGGTCACCGTTGCTATGCGAGTAGGTATCATATAGTTAACATTTTTGTTCTTGGTGAACTTCAGCGTCGGGGAAAGTGTTTTAGAAGGGACAGTCGGGTCCGAACATATAATCAATATATCAGTGCAATATCGGCGTGCAACCACTATCGAAGGTAATTTTGCGCCGACCCTGTGATAAATTTCGTACTGAATTATTCAATTTAGGAAAGTATTATAGATGAATTTATACAATTAAGTCTGAATTTGGAGATAAAAAGGAGTTAGCTGGAGACGAAAAAACGTGTTTCGTTCTCTGGACATGTCGGGTCGCAATCGCTACGAATGGCCAATTATAGTGGCGGGACCCACGCCCGCCAGCGCACCCTTCAAAAGGCCGGTAACACCATGCGTTTATAGTACCCTTGTGCCCTCAAAAGCCAGGTTCACTATCAGACTCCTCGAGGTCACACATCTTGCCCTGCATCTTCCTTACTTTCTCTTTATCAATATACAACCTTGCTCCTGGTAAAGGGCAGGCCTCACTTTCTCCCGAACAATTTGACTTGTCTTACAATGGACAAGTACGTTTTTTTACCTATAAATTTTGTTCAGAGGCTCACGGATCTCTATCAACCCAGTAACAGTACCCCCAACATGCAAACGCCTACATCATCCACTGCTCAAGTTCATTTTTCCAGTGATGTCCGCAATATGGATAACTGGGCTCGTCGTACAGGCATTCCGTTGACCACAGCGGAAGCTTTAGGCACCACTTATGCTCGTGCTCATAAATGGTTGATGTCGCTAAAAGCCCAACTAATTCAGCACCATGGGTGGCAAGACGCCGAAGTCGCCGCCGATACTCGTATGCTCTTCACCGTAGAAGCACCTTCTCCATGGCGCTCCCCCAATGGGCTCCCTTTGAGCCCCAAGTTGCGCCTTCAACTCCCCACACATGCATCTTCCTTTTTTTCTCCGGAGCGACGCGTTCAGTGGCAAATGGTGTTCCACAGCGACATCTTTGCCACCCAGCGCCTCATCGTCCAACCCATCACCGACATCCTGAATCTTATCCAATGTCTACTCACTGGTGTTGTGACCCTCGTGTACGAGGAGCAACTACCTCAGGGCACCTATACCACCACTCGGGGTCTCCCCTCCGTGCAGTGGATAACCAATAACCAGGCCTCCCTCCTTGAAATCTTTGGGCATGCCCATTTCAAGCAGCTCTGGAAGGCTGCCAACGACAGAATGACGTCGTTCAAAGTTGACTTTGAACCTCGGCGTCGTTGACCGTGGAGTGGCACAAAAGCCCTTACCCTGGGGGCCAAGGCTCACGTGCAGCAAGCGCCCTTGTGCATTGACTTGGGCGCTATCTCCATCCTTTCATTTCCCTACTTATGATCCGCTTCGCTACCTGATTTGTGCTTGTACCCTTGGCCGCATTGTTGTGATTTACTGCTCTCTTTAGGCGTCCTCAGCATAATTTTTATATCTCCACATAGACCACTCGTATATTGTTAATTCGCTTTATTCTGAATCATCTTATACACACTTATCATCGATCACATTTAATACCCGCCATCATATCGTTACAATCGAATACTTAGCATCGTGCGCCTAATGTTACAAAGCGAATGCTCACCTCGATCATGTTTATACTGACAAAGGCTTGTCAAATGAGACCCAGTGTGGTGCTCCCCTTGACCCAGCCAAGTGATAAAGGGACAGAAATGATGGTATAGAAGACATGTGGTTGTGTTGTACTCGTATCCCGGCCCTCAGGCGATCAGCGATCTGATGGCATTGGACGGTGCTGTACCAAAAGTCATTCGGGCCGTTCAAACCTTTAAAAAAAAGCGTGCGCTTGCGGATAATCTCTTAGCGAGCAGACGGACATCATACTTAATCAGGCTCTGCGTGATAGGGGGAATCTTTGTAAGGTTTAGCGCCTTTAAAACACGTTGAAGGGTCGCACCAACGGTAAGATCAGAGGCACGTTGGGAGCGTGAGGCAGACGGAACTTTGGACAGTCATGTCCTTTGTGATATCCTAATTCAAGAAGATCACGGCATAATTGTATAACATATGTATGTGGGATGACAAAACTTACCTTCAGGATGGAATAAATGTCGAAAGATTATACAGTAAACCCGCGTCGCGTCGGAGAAATCCGCGTCACGTGCCACACCACAAGCTACTTCGTGTGGTTGCACAGCGCTCGGCCGCAGTCACTCTAAAATTTTTATCTACTTGACAAGGAAGATGAGTTCAGCCACGGTGCTCTGCCAGAGCTCCAATTGCCCACATGGGAACCCACCGTCTCGGCTCGAATGCCCCACGTGCAACAAGTATGTCACACACCATGTTGCATCCTGCTGTCAGCGCTGAACTTCGTCGACTCGCAATAGGCTGGGTATCCGTGGTTCTTTTTTCTGCGGACAGGAGTGCTTCAAAAGTAACTGTGAGTCGATCACGATATCAATCTGTGTGGAAGCATTGAAAACGCCACACTTTTGACAGGGGTAAGTACGATGTAAACGCAGGCACCGCACGCACCTCATGTACATTTCATTCCCTCCGCATCTACCAGAAATCCCACAAAATTATCCACGATCTTGTGCGTTCCCCAGGCACTGCGGCTAATCCATCACAAGGTACGTCAGTAGAGGTGCTCGCCGATCGCGAGTTAGCTGATGTTATGCAGACGGCACTTACAATCCTTTCGTGAACTTCGATTACACGGGCACTCTAAGACCCGTATACCCCCTCTCTCCAAAGCGTGAAGTTCCAGCACACATTCCACGTCCTGACTACGCAACACACGAAGATGGTAGGATCTTGTGCCTTCTCAAGAGTATAGCACCCAATCTGAACATAACAATAAACAATTCCCACCATCACCTACAGGAGTACCGATCATGGAGTTGAAGCGAATGGGTCAACCTCCCTATTTATTGAACTCGGAGCAAATTGGAAAGATGAAAGTTGCGTGCAGGGTAAGCCAGGCTTAGGCTTTGATGAACCTGACATCATACTCATTTTTCTCAAGCTTGGCCGAGAAGTGCTGGATATTGCAGCAGCAATGGTACGGCCAGGTGTGACTACTGATGAGATAGATGCTGTCGTGCACCAAGCTACGATCGACCGTAACGCATACCCTTCACCCTTGAACTATCGTAATTTCCCGAAATCCGTCTGCACGTAAGATTGTCTTGAGCTCGTCTGCTGATTTGTCCTTATATTGCATCAGCTCCATTAATGAAACCATATGTCATGGCATCCCTGATCGCAGGAAATTGCAAGAAGGTGACATCATCAATCTCGGTGTGTCCCGCCATCCCGTCTGTTGAGTATGTTCTAACGTTTTGATAGATATATCGCTCTACTATGATGGTAGGTGGACACATTGTGTTTCCGTTTTATCCCATGTTTGAAGGTGAAGGTTAGGCTTTCATGCCGACTTGAATGCAACATACCCCGTCGGTGAGATAGACGAAGACTCCAGGAAACTGATTCGAACCACTCGACAATGTCTCGATGAGGCGATCAAGATATGCAAACCGGGTGCACTGTTCCGTGACATCGGCAAAGTTATGTTAGTATTTTCCCTTCGGTACGTTAATTCAAATTTACATGGGTCGCAGCGAGCCGATTGCACGTGCCAACGGATGTGCTGTCGTACGGACGTACACAGGTCACGGCATTAACGACTTATTCCACACGGACCCTAATATTCCACACTACGCAAAGAACAAAGCAATTGGTACCATGAAACCCGGAATGGTAAGGAAGCTAACGACAAATTTTTCTGGACTGCTAACCTCATTCAAACTAGTGCTTTACAATAGAGCCGGTAAGCTGCCTCATGCTTCCCGGAGCCGAACCTCATGCACGGTTATAATCAGATGATCAACTTAGGTTCCAATTGGGACACACACCATTGGCCTGACAACTGGACTGCTACCACGGTGGATGGGAAACGTAGCGCTCAGTTTGAGGAAACTTTACTGTGAGCGCCCGTTGAAGGCAACTTATCTGACACCTCGCTTATCAATGTTCTAGTATCACAGAGACTGGTGTAGAAGTTTTGACTGCGGGAAGCACGAATCTGTAGTAACAACTTGTCATGTCATTATCATTGCTTGCATTCAGGGATAGATATACTTACATGTTCTGGTCAGTTTTCTCCCGTTATACTCCGCCCAAAAATATTCCTTCCAGCGGCAAGGCACATCGAAGCATCGAGATCGACTGAATGAATTCGGACATTTATGGACGTAACATGTGTACCCTTATCTTTCCTCGTTTCCCCTTATGCAAAAATATCGTTTCGTCTTTCAATATCCCCGCAATTACATCCGCTGACATTGACCCTTGGTAATAGCGGAAAGGGTGGGGAACACGTTCATGGTGTGGGTATCCCCTCGCATTCCTTACTTTCCCACCTCCACCTACAAGATCACCCTTGTCAATTCACTGAGCGCTTCTTTTACTGTCCATATGTCGGGCAATGACGCTGACACTGAGCCATATCTTTTCGTTGAGAAATGTGGCTCGACCCGAGGGAACCCGATATACGTGATCACAAAGTACATCCCGTCAGTTGGTGTACTCTAGTGAAGATAATTACTGCGGAAGGGCTGATTGAGATATTCCAGCGCTATGAATGGTTATTCGAGTAGAACGGTGGGCGTTTCGTTTCTTTGTTTTAGCGACGCCATTTCAATAAGCATTTTTAGAGGGAAATTAGATGCATGGATTTAGGTGGGGAAGCTCTCGGTTCTTACAAGGCTCGCCAAGGAGGCTGTACGCACATACAGGTGGGTGACGTTGACAGCTGTCCCAAGATTATCTCAACCACACGTCCCAGTTCTTCAATCACGCTGAATATCTCAAGTACGTTTTTCCGTCGCAAGCACCGACGAAACTCAATATATTCGCTACAGCTGTACCGGGTGCGGCATGGAGTTTTCCAAAGTAATGCTTCGCCAGAATGCCTACATCGAGATCAAAGGCCTCCCTTCCTAACTCCTCCGACGCTCGGTCACCGTTCTTATCCGTTATGATCGCTATCATCGTTGCTTTGTGAAACAGATATGTATATGAACAGCTATACCTGCCTGGCAATCGCAATGTAATACTTCATACCTCACATGCAATTTATACAGTCCTTTACCATAGTCACATTATCGCACCTTACGATTGTCTGCCTGCTTCTTTGTTCAAGCTCATAGTCATATCTTCAAATGTCTCTTGCCGATCTACGGACCCAATGCGCTCGACCGGAATGAGGTCAGATAAGCTGTGCTTTCGCTGCCGTGAGCCCTGTCGCATGTGCAGAGACTGGGAGTCGTCAAGGCGGACACCGCTCGAGCTCGAAGAAGCGCTTGGCTGAGTAGTAGCGGTCATTCGAAGTCGCTGGAGATCTGCGTATGATCCCTGCCGAACCTTGTGCCTCGAAGCATCCTCATACGCGGATATATAGCTGACGGCATGATCATAATCTCCATGGTCTTCGTCATCGGAGAGGTCAGGCGTCGCCGGTCTGCTGCTGTCCTGAGTTGGCGTGCTTCCCCCCCATGCGCTTGTTCCACATTTAGCGCTACGGCTCCATCCGAAGAGCCGTTCATCGATCCATGTCTGTGCAGCGGTCATGAGGGTGTGACCAGAGATACCTGAACATGCTCACCATAGGATGAATCAGCAAATTTCCTTGAGCATCGACTTGCCCCACGCTGCTCTTTCTCCGCCAAATCCCGGGATTGCCCGTCGAAGGAGGTGCGCTCGCAGGGACCAAAATGCGGAACTAATCTGATGGTCAACACCAGGCATCAATCAAGTTCCTGTGAACTTGCCTGATCGAAATCATCGTAAATCTTTGGGCCAAACTCATTGATAACCTCGGCAACTTCATTAGAAAGTCGAACTCTCATGGCCTTCGCTTTGTCAAAGGACCGCTGTTGACCGGGGATCAACGCCACTATCAAGGGCCGCAAAGATCTACGGAAATCGAACCGCGTTAGTGGATAATTTCGTAGCGGGTCTTCTAAAACCTCACTTTAGTACGTCCATACCAGCCTCACCAAACTTGAGGGTGGCGTAATTCATGAACGGCAAAGCCAAGATCACCAGGAAGGGTGTCCATATCCTCGCGGTTAGAGAAGCGTTGGCTTTCACGGCGACTATTGTCGCAACTATGGCATAGAAAGCATACATGACTGGAGCGATACCAAGCGAAATGAGAATCTTCCACGTTGCGAGCACATCGCGACCGGCCACTTTGACTACTGATGCAGCCAGTGCCTCTGAAGGGGAATTGGTGTTTTGAGTAATTAATCAAATATAATAAGCGTCAATGCACACCTTTAGCTTTTTGACGTGAAATAATTGATGCCAAGATAAACATAGGCCCATTAAGTATGACTCCTGGCAAAGCCAATGACGTCCAGATCATCAGGAGCACGAGGCGATAGACGAGTAAGCCGAGCGTTTTCCAGCTCGCCTTCTGTGCTCGTGGGACCTTGTGAAAAACGTGAGTTGGTGCACAAATTGGGGGTCGGCTCGTAGACGTACTTGGTGATCACGAATTCCCAGATCACGAATCAAGCGATTATACTTCAAAACGTCTGTCCGAAGTTTCTGTACCCGGGGCTCATCTTTGAAGTGCGTGTAGCCTTCCAAGAAGCGCCTATTCAGTTCGACGACTTGTCCCAAGGTAAGATATTGCCCCGGTGTCTTGTATAATCGGCGGACGGCTTGAATAAGCTGCATGACATTCGGTTCTCGCTTACTTGAGTAAATGACGGCAGGGACGCACCATAAGCGTGTCATAATCTGGGGCACGAATCGTCACTGTCTTCAGCCCGTCATAGATAAGATTCAAGAACTTCGCGACGGCTTCACGCTTTTTGTTACCACCTTCTTTGAACATCTCGACTAGCTCAGCAGGCACATCGAGAGCAGTTCCGAATTCTACAACAGCACGAGAGCGGAAGCGATGGGCATGGAAATATGATAGACCGACAGGTACAATCTTGACTTGCACAGTTGGATCGTTGGCCATGGCACCTAACGCCATGATGGAGACACCAGCTTTGAGAGGGAGTAGATCCGTTCTGTCGTGGCTTCCACCTAAGGGGTCAACAATGTAACGAAACGCTGCAATGAAATTAATTAGTGAGCTTGCCTTCGGGGAATATGCCAATGCACCCTCCCTCCTTCAATTTCTGATATACGCCACGATACATTTCTTGCTGGTCAATAAATGGCAAAACCTTGAACGCTAAGCCTGTATTCCCGTTTTTTCGGCCTTCGGCAATTGTTTCCCGGATGCGAGTCGTTCCTTTGCCACTGTCCCCTCCAAATTCTTTCTTGATGCGCAACTCCGTATCTGAAATGACTTCGACGACCTCAGCGACGGCTGAGTTGACTGACTTTGGAAGCATGATTTGCATTCTTGGGGAAAACTCAGTTTTGAACATGGTGCCCTCCCCGAGGACTAGACAAGGATCATCCGGAGATAGGTATACTAAGCCAGTTCCCGATTTGGCCTCGTCTGAAGCTCGAGAAACAGGGACTAGACAAAAGTCAGCAGGGAGTGAGAAATATGACACAGTGAACGTACTGCTATCCATGAGGCGAGCGAAAAACCCTACCGCTTTCCGCTGCAAACTCTTAGCAGCAGTTAAAAACTGGACGTGACGGTGGGTCTCGCGGTAAACCTCTAAGGTGAGAAGGAGAGGATCAAGGAACTACACAGAGGAACGGTCGGCGGGATTTGAACAGAGACGCAGAACGACAGCTCACTTGATTGGAATGAGGAGCACCGACAAAAATGACGGGGCCCGTGCGAGGAATGTTAAAGGCACCCCGAGGTCGTATCTCTCTGAAGAATATCTGTGTGACAATGCGCCAGAATAACAGCGCAGCTTCATATGTGATTACTGAAGACATTACGGATAGGCTTTATGAATGTTAGTTAGTGACTAGTCGTGCAAGGTATGATGGTATAAAGAGAGAGAGGCGTAGCCTTGGCGCTCTGCCGCCTTCAGGGGATTAATATCAATATGCTGGAGCACAGAGCACTAGTGGGGCCCAATTTTTGGGGCGTCACAACATGTCCAAATAAAGTCCACGTATTATTACTTCAGTTATTCGTCATATGAACGAATGACGCCCTCAGCGGCCAGCCTCGATTCACGGTAGCACGACCACCGAATCGCCGCTCAGAAATCAACGTACGTCAAGTTCACAGCCTGCATTTCCCCAGATGATTGGCACATGATGATACATTCTCCCAGGCATGACTCGAAATAAACATACTTAAGAACATTCCACAGAAATAGTGCATCCTGATTAAAAGCGTATCTGAAGAGTTGTAAATGATTGAATTGCAAAAAAGAAAGTGAGATATTGAAAGAATTCATCGATCAGTCTGGCTCAAGTCAGCTCTCCGATATCCGAGGTCTTGCAGCACTTTGCGAAGATCCATTGCTTGTTGTGCTTGTACGATTATAATGGAATATGCCGTGCAGCTGATGCAACCGATCCTCCCCTGGTGGATCGGATATATGTTGCGTAGGTTGAGGTGACATTTCCCCTCGGCTTGGAGCAGGAGAAGTAGGAACGGGTGATTCGTGGCCATTCGACTCCAATTCTAATAAACATTATAACAATAAAACTGGAAACTGGAATGAGGAAACTTACTCGATAGTGTACTTGCGACCGCCGCAGTGCGTTCCATATCTTCCGCCGCCCTACTCGCAAGTGCGCGATTGATATACTTGCGAAATGCAGGGCCAGTTGTCTCTAGCAGCTTTTCAACGCGAGGACGCTTGTGTGGGTAGTTCTTCAAGAACTGGTGCAGCTCAGTGATGCCTTCCTTGTGCATCGCTCCTGTAGTCTCGCTGGAGATGTGATTAATGATCGTGATTAATTGTGCTTCCGGATCTGGCTCTTCTACGGGCGGCGAGAAGCCATTGTGCGAAGAGACACTCGGGCTTGTTCGATGACTAGGGGAAGACTGCTGTTGATTGGCAGAGGAGCATGCAGGTGATATGGGCCGACTGGAAGCTACTGAGTATGGGCGTCCAATGGGTTCTGAAGGACTGTGATTCGATCGTATTGGGATGTCTGCCGCTGCTCGAGAGGAGTTAAGAATGCGGTAGACGTAGGGGTATACTATAGTTGCTGATGGGTCGTCGAAGGATGCGGAAAGGAAGTCATAAACTTCGTCGCCGTAATGCGCTAAGACTCGGTTAGTCAATATCTTAGTTCCGTGAGACTTCACATACCAACTACATGCTGAATGATAACTTTGATGGTTCTCAACGGCATATCCCCGCACGGGACCTTATTCGTGGCTCTGGCTCTCCATTCATTTGGAGGTACTGACTGTAAGAAGTGCTCGACCGCAGGTAAGAGCTCAACCGGGTCGAGTTTTTGCTCCTTCAGATCTTGAGGGATGTTTCGAGCTAGCTTCCAAACACATTTCAAGACAAGTTCAGCGACACGAGCCTCCTTAGAGTCTGAGAGTGTTCCATTGCTCGGGAACGGCTTCACGATCTGCAAAAGCAGGGCAAACAGGGAACTAACACAGTGCGTCAGGATTCAGGAAAGCGACATTACAGGTGACAGAGACACGCACCGGAATATGGACATCCTGCGTCCTGTGGCAAACAGCCTCAAGATGATCATATTGATAAATCGCGACAGATCCTTAACCTTGGTGACGTGACTCTCATCAGTCTCCAATAATCTCAGTGTAAGTTCCTCTAATAGAGGGGTGAGAATGTCAATGGTTAGCGACTCAGCCAGGAATATGTGGTCACAGAACGTGTTGAGCGTCTGAATGAGGTGCTTCGCTAATCTGAAATTTTCATCGGACACTAGATCCTCGGGGCGTTCGAAGACATGCGCCATTTGAAGTGTGATAGTTTCTATAAGACCTTCGGTATGTTCTGCTAATTCACGATACTCCGCAGATGCGTGTCCGTCTTCTGGCTTTGTGACCAGGATCCTTTGGATTTTCTTGAGAGCATCTACGCTGCGAGTCGGATCGCTGCTTAATATGCTAGAGATTGTAATCGTGATGTCGTCGGGAGTATCGAACGCAGGGGCATCGTCATATGTGTGGGCGCTATTTACCAGAGTTTCCGCAGACTCTGTAGAGGGCATAGATGGAGCTTTGTTGTATGAATTGCCATTAGGGTTGATGGCATACGGCAGTTCTGAAGGTTCTTCTGAACGCGTGGCCACATTTGAAGATAATCCAAAGTTCGGACGAGGCTTAGGAGGTCCGAGACGCGACGGTAACATGCTTTTTGGACGCGGGCCCAAAGGAGATGACGGCGCGGCGACGTGTGAAGTGCCTGCCATAGCCGTTGGCAGGGTGATGCCCGGGAGTTTCGGTCGCATTGGCGAAGTGGGTCTGGCAATTTGGGAAGGAGCTGGAGAGGCAGACCGCGGCGTCCTGGCAGGGGAACCGGGTCTGGTAAATCGGGAGATGCCCGAGACAGCTGGACTTGCTGGTCGTGGTGAGGTCGGCGAATCTGAACGCACACCAGTGCCTGTCAGACGAGATATCTGTGCGGGATGCGCCGGTGTCTGCGGCGCCGGCTTGCCTGGGGTACTGGGTCCTGCGACGCGACGTAGACGCTCTTCAAGTTGTGTCTTATCTTTGGGTGACAATGGTCCTACAAGCGACCAGACTTTCTCTCCAATCAAGGAGTATACTTCACTACATCTCGTCTATCAATGTTCAAGACAATGACAACAAACAAAATTTACCTCAGAGCAGATAGAGCAGACTTCCGCACAGCAGAGTCTTTGTCTGCGATCATAGAACCCAGGACAGGGAAAGCCTTGCTGGGTTGATTGCATGCAGACATACCGTTGCGCTTCAGGAGACTGCTTATTTCATCTAGAGCACCCTGGCGGGTTTTTGCCACCTTAGATTTCAAGCCATGCTCCAGCAGTAAGTCAAACACTCGGCTGAATGCATACACCTTTGGCATCATTTGAATGATTTGCTGCACGCGGGCGCGCACAGGTTCACGAGCGTCACCGAGCTAGGGGTAAGTATGTGTTAGAACCAAATATACTACAATCATCAGTCCCGTACCTTGTTGATCAATGTCGGGAGGAAACACAAAGCCTCTGAGTCGTCTATTTGAGCGTCAACACTGCGTAGGAACGCAAGAACGGTTTCAGCCACTTCTAGGCCTTTGGCACTTAAGTTGGATTGAGGTTCATGAGCTTTGATCGAAACGTATTTCAGAGCGAGATCGCTACAGGCTAAAGCGACAGCTCGGAGATCATCGGGAGGGACTCCAAATTTGTCGTCTCCAGACTCCGCGGCAGAGAAGAAATTATGCATCGTAGTCAGTCCTGAGACATGATCGTTAACAGCGTTGTGGTCGTGACTGAACAGCTGAGCGACGAGATCCTTGGAGGCGTGTGGCTCCATTTGATGTTGCAGGAGATCGGCCAGATCCTTCCTGGTAGTTCCACCTTCATTGATCCACCGCTGAGCATCCTTGGCTAATCTCGCACGTTTAGCCTCCATGTTCATACTAGAGAATGGAAGAGCTGAAACAATCGCTGGAGGGGGTACCACGGAACCCTTTGTAGCAATACTTGACGCTCCTGCACGCTTGAGGCCACCAATTCCCAACTTCCCCGGAAGGCGAGACATGGCAGGTTCATCTAATGAATCTGCTTGAGAGTCCGGTCGGGAATTTGTCCCTTGTGGCAATTTCCGTCGGACACCCGTGAGTTTACTAGCTGTGGTGGAGGGAACCGGAGATGGCGGAGGGGGACTCGGTGATAACCTTGCGGGTACTGAGGAAGCTACCTTTGAAATATGAGCTTTTGGTGGCGTTGTTGCCGCAGGTGCAGCAGTGACTAGTGGAGCCGCATTATCTCGAGCTGCTTGAATAATTGGAACAGCAGTCTTCCTCGATGCTGGCTTTAACGAATTGGTGTGTTGCATGACTTTGTCGAAGCCGACAGAGGTGATCAGGTGAGGCAGAAGGGCTTGCACGCCCTTCCTAACGTCAGCGCTCCGATCATCGAGGCAGGAGACCACGGTGGCAGCCCAACTACTTAGATCCAAGGACGAGGTAGGGGGATGGTCTTTGAGGTAGTCGGCTATCCACCCAAGTAGAGAGGCTCGTTGGGTCGGATTAACCGCTTCTAGAGCTGTTCCCAAGAAATGTACCATAGAATCCAGTCCTTCACTTGCAGTTGCCATTGCGGTCAAAGTTTGAATTGCGGCCGCACGAATAGGTGCCTTTTGATCTGAAAGAACTGTCGCCACTGGTACTACGAAAAGTTTGTTTTGCTTTTCAAAAGGTTTTCCCATGCCGGTTGCAATACGAGCGACTATGTCAAGTGCAAGATTTTGGACAGCTTTATTGGTATCCAGCACTCGGGCCTTAAGAACTTGTGCAATCTCGCCTGAAAGAGGCATAAGTATGAGCGCCATTAAACTTGATCAGGAGATCCTTGCCTATAGCTGGTTTCAGGCGCTTGTTTGCCCCTTGGTCAAGAAGCGCTTGGAGCGTCTCCAGAGCCTCCTTCCTAGCTTTCCAAGCATCACTCTTGGTATCAGCAAGAATAGTGGTGCCTTTGAGCAGCCCATCGATCTCCACTCTCGGAAAGAGGTCGTCCAAAGGGTCAAACCCTTTAGCAGCTCCTCCATTAGTTGTAGGTACCAAGGTTACGATGTCGACAGAAGTACGACTTGGCTCTGGCGCTGGTGTACCTTCGACCTTGTCGAATTCACCTTGGATGGTCACTAAAAGTTGAGCATTCAGGTCCTCCAGGAAATCCTTGATACCTAAAGGTCGTGTTAAAGGTTTCAATCCCAAAGATGACAGCACTCTTACTAGATCCTGCGAATAACTTGACAGATACAAGGGTCTTTGTAGCACTTGTCCTTACAGCCGCATTAGAGTTCTTCAGGGCAGTCTTCAAAAAGTCAATGAGAGGGCGAAGGGAAACGCCAGCAATGCCAAATTCGACGATGGATGTATCTATCCATCCAAGTGCGTCTGCAAGGACTTTGGGAGCCTTCTGCTTGCCAAGCGGATCGTATGCTATACTCGAAGATCGTCACAAGGTGGGTCAGCAAAAGGGAGCATGAACATGCCTTGGTTGAGGACAAACTGTAGAGATGTTTTCTCTGCAAAGGCTGTCAGTGCATCACCGGCTGATTTCTTAAGCTTCATATCGCCCAACTTCTCAGAAAGATGACTTGTCGACAGAGCGACACATGACCTCCCGAATGATGGACATCGCTCAGCAAGAATGGTCAGGACACCGTACAGTTTTGCTGATACCTGAAAAATAATTACATGATGGAAAACTGCTTCTAAGGTCGGATCGACGAACCTGGAAATTCTTTTCGGACCATCCTTTCTTCGCTATAGCTCGGATAACGACCTCGGCATCAACATCATCGACAACACCTTCTATCCAAGTCTGCATTTCCTCGCACGCAGCAAGTCTGGCTTTCCAATTGACATCTCCCAAGCCTTCCATGATAGATGTTGGTATTAACTCAGTCGCAAGACCCTCAGCATCCTCAGGAGTATGTTTATATTTGAAAGCGTCAAGAGTGCCAGGCGCAGCGGGAGCGGCAGGCTTCGAGGGTTTGGCGGCGGCGGTGGGAGCAAGCTTCTTGACAGCAGGGACAGCCTTGACTGGAGGACCTCCCGCTGAGGAACTTGCTTCCGGTGCCTCAGAAGTCGGCGGGACTTTCTTCTGATGCGATGGTCAAATGTTAAGAATATCCTTAGGATCAGGAAACTACGAACCAAAAGCCTGGCAGGCGGTTTCCCAACCGGCTTCTTTGGAGGTTCTTCGTCTATCATTAGTGCATCAGTCACTTCCGCCTTAGGGGGAGCAGTGCCTTCTGCTTTCTTGGGCGGCGAGACTTTTTTCTTTGGAGGTTCTTTCGCAGAAGCGGGAGCCTTTGGAGCACCAACTTTACATTTTACCACAGCTTTCTCGTACGCCTCTTTCACCTTCGCCTTACGAACATCAGCGAGCCCATCCATCAGAGCATTGAGCGGGCGCTCGCCAACCATCTTCATAAGGATACCTAGGCAGCTAGCAGCTTCATTGCGTGCACCCTCAAAACCATCCTCGAGCAAAACAGCGAGCGGATCAGTCAGCGTCTTTATCTGGCCAGTTTGCACCGGCGTCATAGAAGTCGATAGCGAGCGAGCGAGAAACTTGAGAGTCCCTTCCTTTATCTGTGGGTTCTTATTTCCCAGAGCTGGTATCAGATCAGGTATCATATCGGGTAAGGTCGTCTGCAGAACTCATCAACCAAAAATAGGGAATCCATTCAAAACCACATACCGTCGCGAAAATGGCATCTAATGCAGCTCCGATTGTGTCTGTAACATTTGCTTTCCGTTCTTTCAAGCGCTCTAGCATCAAAGGAATGACCATCTCCCTGAACCTGCCGAACGGAGACATCACGCCCTTCGCTAGGCCCTCCATAACGTGAGCAGCAGTCATGACACAATTAATGTTTGCATCTTTCGAGATGCATACAGCAAGTGACTTCGCTAGCTCTCCCAGCTCAGAGGCATCCTGGATGCGAGGGGTGGCATTTACAAGTGTAAGCAGCTCGTCCAGCACCTCCTTTCTTTCTTTCCATTTTGAAGACGTGAGGTTAGCTTGCATGTTAGAGGGAAGCTTTAGAATGATGTTAACTGGCTCCACCAGAGTGCGAGGATCAGGAAGATCCAGTTCTGGAAAGTAAAAGATAAACGTCGCATCTAAATGCATTGATGATAATCTAACCTTGTGGTTGCCCGCCTGCTTCAACTTCATCACCATCAGCCGCATCGCCTGCCATCTCTGCCTCGCGCTGGTGCTCTCGCGTGAGTCTTTCAGACTTTAAAGTTCCTTTGCCCTTTCCCGCATTTTCCATCCCCTCAAACGCCTCCTGTAATTCTTTGACCTGCACTGGCTTAAGCTCCGATAACCAAGGGTCTATCGCTGGACCGATGTACTGATACAACGTATGAGCGAGTTGCGTGCCTTCTGCACGGACATTCTTGTCAGCATGCGCGAACATCTTGGGCAATGTTTTTAAAACAGGGGCCGGAGGAGTCACTTGAGTTCCAAAAGTCCTGCACAAAAGTAACAGTCAGATCCGCTCCGGAACAGAGATTCAGAGCGTAGACGGAAGTGCCATGGTGTAATAGAAGACAGCTTACCGAACAACTTCTTTCAAAGCAAATACACATCCAGCAACAGTCTTTGGTTGTTTTGCAGAAAGACCGGGTATAATGTCCGCCTGAATAAATGAGGTTTCTGTAAGACGGTATCAAGAGAAGGCGGACACTGCACGCACTACAACACCAGCAGCAGAATTCTCAACTTCCACGAATTGAAGGATAAGCTCTATTGCTTGGTTCTTTGTACCGGCTCTCGCAGACCCGAGACACTTGTCAACCAAGGCCGGCACAACAGTTTCCCTGGTCTTTGCGGCAGACTCTCCAGCAAACTTGACCAGTGCCACAAGACACTCTACACCTTTCTCTTGTGCCACGGCATTAGAATCTGTGGCGATCTTCTTAAGAAGATCAGGACTGTTGATGTAGGGTTTGAATGCGGGGTCGGTGTCGGATGCGGTGGTTTGGAAAGTCTTGATCAATGATTCGTATCCGCTTACACGGGCTTTCCAGTTTTTGTGATTAAGCCTCTCTGATATTGGAAGGGAAGAAAAATCTTCCTCCTGAGGTGGAGGCCCGTCCATGTGAAAGTTAACGAGAGAATAATAATATCGTTGGTTAAACCACTGCCGAAACGCGCCCCATTGAGTCACAAGATGTGACAAGTAGCGTGACAATTCACATGCACGTAACAAAAACGCGCATATGATCATTAATATTGATGTGTCAGTCTATCTAGAGGCCAATGATTTCCCAATCTCTGTAACTGTATCCCATACCCTGGTAGCCTCCGGATCAGCAGGATTTTCTTCGAAAGCTTGAGCAAGCTTTGTAGACTGCATATACCGTTCAAAAGCTCCCTCCTCTTCAGCTGTCATACCGAGATTATGATAGGCAACTACGAGTAGCTGCTGTACTTCTGAAGTAGCTTCTAGCATGGACAAGGACATATAGTCAGCTTCTGCCATAAGCAAACATGGCAGTGCATCTCGAAGGCCTGCCTCTACGAGGATGTAAGTGCCAGGCACGAATACGTTTGAAAATAACATACTTGATGAATCCATGGATGCAATCATGCACCTTGCGAGTGTGTGATTTGCAAAAGCTCGGTGCTCCATTTCCTGTCCGGACAATGTCTGTTGTCAAAAGTTTCTCAGCATTCCCTATGATTCGGTGCGACAGGACTCACTTGTGGCATAATCCCTAGAATCAATTGCTGACAATGTTCTGACATTCCGAATTCCAAGCCAACATCGGCGAGGAGTGACATGCCTAATCTATACAGCGGAAACCTGCCCTGAAATTCCGATTGCCAAAGAGCTTGTAGTAGTGGTTGGATTGCAGCCACTGCTTGTCCGCAGTCGCTGGTACTCAATCAGCAAGAGCCTGAGAATGTGAAGAGCCAGCTTACTCGAGCATTCATCACTTCATGTAATTCCATGTTTAAGGCAGGAAGCGATGTCGAGCTTTCATCAAAGAAGTATTCGTTCGAGACGAAGGTTGATGACGAAGGCCTTCGGGGTAAGAGAAAGTCGTCAAAGAAACGTCGTTGTCCACTACCATCGATTGCCGTCAGTTGAACAAATAAAGTATAAGAGGAGGAGCCTACGGACCGACGACTTGTCCTGAGGGCCAGTATATGCCAGATAGCTTCTGCCCATCGGTGGTACGCGTCCAATGAAAGGCCGCGCCACGTCTCCGGATGCATCAGCAGTGCCAAAGCCTCTGAGTACAATCCATTTCTGGCGCGCTTGAAGAGAAAATATCAACCTCATTCAATGGTCTTCAATCGAAGACATACCCTATAGGAGCGATTGATGAACGTATTCAGACGGTTTGGGTCGTCTTTGCCAGCCCTCGTGAGCAACAACACGAATGATTCCTCGACATCGGCAAGATCGTAGCATCCTGTAAATGTCAGTTTTTCGGTTATGCCAGCTCTAAATGGCCTCACCTAACGTTTGCCATAGTACAGCTTGCATTGCATTGTGACTACAAATGTCCGCGTCACGAGGCATTGCTTGCTTGGTGTCTACCCAGTGATTGTGTAGGGCAATAGCCTCGGTCAATTTCTCAAAGCACAAGGTCAGCGGTTGTCCCTACGCGAGGCATCAGTGATAAAATCGTGCAATGTTATGGGCTGTCACCCACGTATTGAGGATCAAGTAGTTTTGTCACGTCAAACAACACCTCCAACGGATGGAGGTCAGGCTGAATCTCGTTTAAGACTGGAGTTTCGTTCAGGGATGGCAAGCGATGTAGCATGCTATACCGGAAATCAAACATTCCACAGTTAAAAAAGAAGATAAATTACCTGATACAATGCTGGAGCGTTATGCGATCTCCGCTTGTTCTAGCGACTGCAATAGCTTCACGAAGTAACTGTATGTGAACACTGAGGGAGGTGAATGATAAGGAATGATATTCAAGATACCTTGCTGGCAGCAGGATATTCCTTTCGAGTATAGTGCATGCGTACTAGATTCAGCAACGCATGCTGTCGAACACCCCTGCAAGATACACAGTGAGGTAGGACGCAGAGAGCTCATTGAACACGACGCACGAATCGTTGTGTTCATGAAAATGTTGTTCAAAATATCTACGCAAGTTCTCTGGACCTATGATATCATCTCCCGTTGCGAGTCCTTTTTCCCACCTATTGTCCAATTATTACTGTCTAATCCTAGTCTGCTAGAAGGAAGAAGGATTGCTTACGCTTCAAATGGTTCAGATCGCGCCCAAGTTTTCAAGTCACTCGACGTTTTGAATAGCCAGATATCAGAAGTAAGCGGGTCCTTCTCTATGGGCCCATAACCTGCGTGGCTGGATCCATTGACCCACGCCTGGTAGTCTTTTTGAAGCTGTACGACGCCATAGAATGATAGCTTGATGAAACTGACGAAGCATCTGCGCACAAAGAAACCGAACAGCGATGTTCGACGCTATGACCAACTTTCTAAGCTATAACCCTACAGGAGTAAGCAACTGCGTACCAGAACAGCAGGCTGGAGACCATCAGTTACCTATCGCCATCTACCGAGTAATAACTTTAGCTCACTTGGTCATCGCTTTTTTCAACGAATATTGAAGGTGTGCCTGGAAAGTATTTATCACTGAATAATAACTCAGCACAAAGACGTACTGAGGAAGAAGTTAGTTAGTTGATCAAGCGCCCGTAGCTGGTTTGCCTATGATCACATATTCAATGAGAGAGGGCGAAAAGTAATGTCACTCATGTACTGACCACATTCTCCAGAGCGCCTATAAGCCCCTGGACTACAGGCGTATCTGCATTCGGCGCGACTTTGACCATCGCCAGCATATGCTGATGGGACCTATGTTCAACGACCTGAGGCAGACATCACTGACCACAAACTTTCCTTAGGGAGATCACGAACACACCTCAGACGTTTCCATCAAGAGAACGCGATACATATAGAGCAGAAAGTCTTTCGGCAAAGTCTTCTGAAGCTCGTATTCCTTGAAAATCAACAATAACATTGCTATGAGATCAATATGATGTGGCCTGAGGACATGGTGAACAGGTGGTGGGGTAGCTCGACCATCCATCACACGATAAGTCACCACAGTATTTTAGAAAGATAGGAATCAGTCGATGGTGTCAAGTTCTTGAAGCTACCGCACACCGGAAAGTTGCCGCCGGAAAGGTGCAGAACGCGTCAGTGGCAGTGTTGCCATTCACCAAGTCTCTATTTCCTTTCTAGGGTAGAGCGTATTTTCGATCAAGCCTGCACTCTGCAGCTGCTTCACTGAAATCTCCAGAAAGCAGAGCTTCATGACATTAAAGGGCAAAAAGCGGGCGGCCCCTGCTGCCCAAGTATGTCCATATGCAAATTTTACTATGTAATTATAACTGATAGTTCTGCACAGGCACCCTCCAAAAAACGAAAGCTTCAGACAAACAGTAAACAAAGGACCGCTGCAACACAATCAAAGAAAGGGAAGGAGCGAGCTGCGGACAGAGGCTATATCGAGGTGCCCGGCAATCACGGCGACGCGGATACCGAAGATAGCGATCTCTCCGAGGAGGATGCTGGTCTCCTCGAGGAGTTTGGAGCTCGTGTTGGATTCTTAAATTCGCTTGATCGCAAAGGCATATCAACGTATGTTCTCTCTCGCACTATGTTTTAATGCCCATAATGTCTTTATAGGAGCAAGAAGGAAACTGAGCGTCTGAAACAATTGAACAAGCCAGCTCGCAAACCACACGTGGACGATGACTTGCCGTCAATCGACTCTCATGATGAAGACGAAGAAGAAGCCTGGAGCTCTGGTATCGACGATGAAGCGGACACAGTTTCCCAATCTTCTGTCAATGACAGCTCACAAGATTTATCCAGTGGAGATGATCTAGATTCCGACGCCGAGATGTCTTATGAGCGTGTTCCTCGGAAGGCTCAAGAATCACGCGATGCAAAGATAGACCGCCACATTCAAGGCTTGCCAATCAAATCAGCAGATGGGCGAATCCATTCAACCGGCAAGAAAATTGCAGCTCCTCCATCGTCAGACGAAGAAGACGATGCCACCGACGAATCTGCGGAAGAACAAGAAATGCCCGTTGAAGTAAATAGACTAGATGATGTCGCGACCGGCGCACGTTTCGGTCGACCCGCAGTCATCGATGTCGTTGGAAACAAATCACGAACAGCCCGGATACAGGGTGCTAAAGAGCAGATTGCCACTATCTGTCAGGAAATAATTGCAGAGCCAGAAAACAGCGTACGTACTTCACCCTCTCCCCAACTGATCCGCTTGACATATCTGACAGTTAGGGCTACTTCGCCGCCTTCACACTTTTTCCTTGGAGAAAATTACCTCTCCTTCCCACCCAGAACCGGTTCAAAACAATATCATCATCCGGAAGCTAGCTACGCTATCACAACTCGCTGTTTTCAAGGACATAATACCGGGCTACCGGATACGAGCATTGACCGAAAAAGAAAAAGCTGAAAAGGTTAGCCAAATGGTGGCCCATACCCGAGAATGGGAGCAGGGCCTTGTGCTAGCGTATCAAAATTACCTCCGCTCGCTTGAAGCTGAACTCAAAGGTAACGCATACGTACGTGTTTTGATTGTGGTTTACTGATGGGCTTCCATACAGCTAAAAGCGAGCTAGCAGAGGTTGCGCTTAGATGTATGTGTACCCTGGCCACTGAGGTCACCCACTTCAATTTTAGAACCAACTTGATAACATGTATTGTGGCGCGCTTGAGCAAGAAGTCGTGGGATGAGGTAAGTGACTAATCAACATATGCGATATCCGCCCTACTTGACATTTGAATGACATATCAGGCTTCTGATCTCTGTATGAACACATTAATCAGTGTCTTCCGCGAGGATCAAACTGGCGCCCCTTCCCTAGAAGTCGTCCAGCTCTTAAACCGCATGATCAAAGAAAGACACTTTAATGTGCACCCTGAAGTACTTACGTGTCTTCTGCATCTTCGCCTCAAGACAGAACTCAATGTCCGCGCATCAGACTCTCGGGTGGACAAAAATATGCAATCGAAGGGCAAGGCGGCGGCTCGGCGAGCTAAAGGCAAACCAACCGAACAACCCCATCTTAGCAAAAAAGCACAAAAAGCCCTGAAAGAACGGAAGGAGATCGAACGAGAGATGCGGGACGCAGAAGCAGAAGTTGACAAAGAGGAACGAGCAAATACAGTGAGTTTCGTAACTTGTCGATATAAAAGCTTGATTGACAGTTCTGGTGTAGCACACGGAGACCCTGAAACTTCTATTCGTTTTGTATTTCCGGATACTTAAACATCCCCGCTCGACACCCCTTCTGCCGGCGGCCTTGCGAGGCATTTCCAAATTTGCTCATCTTATCAATATCGACTTCTTCAAGGATCTGATGCAAGTCCTAAAGGATCTAATTCTCCGCGATGCGCCAGAGGAAGGCCCCAGCGATGACTCAGAATCATTTGGTGCTGACACCACTAGTGACGTTCAACACCGCTTATTGTGTATCGTAACCGCGTTTGAGTTACTGTCAGGACAAGGTTCGTCATTTGTTCCAAACAATTATTCCAACTGTCTCAATGCCGTACTTCAGGTGAAGCGCTCAATATCGACCTTACCGACTTCATCAATCATCTATATGCCATCATCCTACCAGTCAGCATATCGATGCAAGTCGATGCGCCTCCACCGAATGCTTTTGTCTCAAAGTTCGGCAACTCAAAACCTCCATCAATCGCGGACATGCTCTTTCGAGCGCTCAATATCGTATTTTCTCCGCGAAGTTCGGGAAATACGGCAATCCATTGGAGGTCTGCAGCATTTGGCAAACGCCTGCTGATTGCGTCACTCAACTGGCCTCCGAGTTCCGCCCTCCGCGCCCTGGAGTTTGTAGAAAATTTGGTCGCCAAGGATCCGAAACTCGAAGCTCTGTTGTCGACTGAAGATAGGCGAGTTGATGGTATATATCTCCCTGAAGTGCACGACCCTCAGCTGTGTCATCCGTTTGGAACGTCTTTCTGGGAACTGTCCCTTCTGCAACAGCACCATTACGATAGTCGAGTGCGAGATGTCGCACGCAGTTTGTCCAATTATGCAAGATCGTAACAACACGTAGAGTTCCATACATATTATGGTGCGCAGTAAGTCGTACACGGTATCTACACTAGCATGCAAAAGATGATAGAAGATACATGTTTAAAATTAAGCAAAGCAGATTAAGAGCTAATCGTTCGTCCAAATTAACATGGTCCTTGTGAATGGCATCCGCCGCAAGTTTGATACAACAAAAAGTTCAAACCAAAAGCGTGCGGTGATAAATAAATAACGAGTTCGTAATGTTCGTTAAGTTCATGAAGACATTATGTAAGGCGATTCATGAAAAGGAACAGCCCGGGAAGAATCCGTACTAGAAGGGGTGAGTGCATGAGACAGAGACGTTGGAGTGGCATGGATGGTACGAGGTATGCTGTGCCCAGGTGCATAGGTGTAGTTTGGTATGAAGGTACCAGTGGTGGTTGGCAGCGGAGTCGTGTTGTCGGTGTGTCCGGTGTATTTTTGGAACCCGATGAGCTCCACAGACGGCAAATTTTCACACTGCCTTCTGTCGAGATCGTAGTAAATGACTGCTATGACTTGTTCATCAACCACAATTTTCTGTATGATGCATGTTTGCATATCTGTTGCCATGTTGTTAACACGAGGCAGCCAGTCTGAAACACATGAACTCACCAGGGTCTATCCACCGACTACGACTTAGCTGGGAATCGGGCAAGAGTAAGGTGATGTGATCCATTACTTCAGGTCCGGCGGCATCCGCAGTGATTACGGAACAGTAACTGCTTTCCCGAGAGATACACTGGTTTCTGACGAAAACAGCTGTGGAGCACCTAATACTGGAGGTACGCGGAGCATCGCATGTGATTGACCCTTGAAAGCCGTGGAGGGCCGGAGAGTATGGAGCCTCAATAGGAGGGAGACGGAGCTTGACGTGTAGCGCCACAACCGAAACGTTCGAGTCTGCTGGCTGTGTTTGCGAGGGAAGAGCATCCACCGACACCGTGGCAGGCTGCATGCCCTCTGCCCAAAGTGACAATCCCGTTAATATTGGTGGACGGAGTGCACAAGAGAACAATGTTGATGAGTCCTGAGTCCGGGGAGAATTCAAGAGGAGGAGGTCCGGTGACATCTGGTCAGCGATGAGCACGGATTGATTTTGCCGTTCATAGCCACGGTTGAAGTCGAAGTCCGCACGGGTGGCAGTACATGGTACATGTGGGCACGATTGCGATACTGTTGGTCGGACCGATATATCAGAGGAAAGTGAAGATGTCAACGGCGAGAGTCGCCGTGGGTCAGCGCCAGCAGAAGTGGACATTGACCTTACGCGACGGCATCCGTCGTCGGCCGTTTGTATCCGGGTACTCGGATATGGCGGCATTGCGGGTTCGGTCTTAGAACCCATTATGGGGGGACTTGCACGAGGGAATTTAGAGCGGGACGTACGAGACACCGAGCGACCGGGACGGTCTGATGCTGGGGAGTGGTCATCGAGGAACATCGATGCCAACAGATGGGAGTCAGGTGACTCCTCTGCTTTGACTGACGTTGGGAGACCGGTATCCAGGAGTAATTCCTCCCCACCAGCGACCAAGTGGTATTCTAGGATAGCAAATGGTTAAGAAGGAATTAATGGGTGCTCGATGAAGTTCTCTGACCTAGTTCGCCTTTCCACATATTGCGAAGTACTTGTATGTGGCTTGCAACTTGCTTTTTGGAACGGTCTATTCCAGCGCGCTGCAAGTACTCGACCAAGAATTGATTTCTCCAACGACTTCTTCCGCGAGAGTAGGTTGCCCAAGGTGATTCCCAGTACTCTCGAAGACCTGTGTGAGGTGAGACAGTGAGGAAGAGATGATGATGGGGCCCCGACCTTGAACGAATATTCTCTCTATCTCTTCTGGCCAGACCTCACTGGAGCCATCTTTGAGTAATTTACGGTGTTTTCTCTGGGGAGTGAGGGTGGTTCCATCGCGTTCACGAGAGACAGATAGTCTTGAAGTGCGCATGTTAGCACTGGTAGTGTTTAGACAGTGCCCCTGGGGGGTCGTAAGTTGAGTGATAAGAGGAGTTGAAGGGACCCTTATATATCTGAGACCCGGGTTTTCTGAATCTCAAATGAGAACGAAATCAGCATAGCGTTGATAGATTTTGACGAGTCCAATGCTAAAGATCCGGAAGTGGCATGAGGGAACCGCTAATTCGGATAACTATCTTATTGAAATGACCCTTTTAGATAACGGATCGAGGAACTAGTGGTGAGAAAATAGACCCGTTTTCGAAGGTCATTCATACTTACAAATTAAGGTTCTTTTTATTACGAAAATAGAAATTCATGACGGTCGAGACCAAGCTTAAAGCGGAGAATGAATTATATAGCGGGAATCTCACAACACAGCCACCAATACTGAAAGAATGAGTACTACAACCCAGAGATGGCTACAGCAGAACGTCAGCTCATATACTCAGAAGGATCGAGTCCTTCTCGACTTTGATACCGTCCTCGCCCGTTTTACAACTCTACATCCAAAGTCAGATGTGTACAGTTCAGTGACTATTAGATTGCATATTCAAACCCACAAGTTGATCTTCTGAATTCTAGCTTATGATGATGGTCGCACCCAGCTTCTACTTTGTCTACATGGCGTCTTACCAATATCCTTTCGCGGCGCTTCATATAATATCCCCATCGCTGTATGGATCACCAAAGAGTATCCCCGCCAGCCCCCAATAGTATACGTTGTTCCGACTCAGGACATGCTCGTTAGACCGAGTAAACACGTTGATGTGAGTGGCCGATGTAATGTTGAATATATCCAACACTGGGAAAAAAAGAGCGAGGTAAGTCTACTATATCTTCCGATCAGAACAAATTCATCCCCGAGCAAGGCATGTAATCTATCAGCTTTACTGGAAGCATTGCAGCAAGAGTTCTCCCGTGGTCCGCCAGTCTACGCCAAACCAAAAACAATCTCAGTTTCAATCACATCGCCGTCGCCGTCGCCTTTACGGGAATCTAATGTCGCATCACCTCCATCACCTGTCCACGTTGCCATAGGCAATGATCGACCAGCGCTTCCACCAAAGCCCACTTCATCAGCACATTCTCTATTGTCGCCGAAGCCTGCGATAGCAGCTCCGATTGCTTCTCCTCAATATTCTTCTACTGTAAGAACCCTGTTATACATTAATGTCATGAATGAAATGGATGTTCATAGGCGAATTTACTCAATCGGCCACCACCGGCTCTACCCTCTACTCATTCACCTCAAATCACAGGCCCTCCCACTTACAGCCGCCCTTCCAACTATCAGCACACGTTGAGAAACCACACATCACGAAGCCCCGCTCTGCCACCGGATCATGACAGCCGCTGGTCCGTACCACTCGCTGGCCCAGCCATATCCGGTCAATTCAATCAATCACGCGCCCCGAACACGCCATCACCTCCGGTCCCATCACAGCATTCACAGGGGCCACCCAACATGTGGCACAGGCCGACTGCGAACCTTCTGGACGATGAAACTGCCGATTCGTCACATCCTGTGCCGCAGCTTCCCACAGCAGCACCGCCACGCCCACCAAACCCAGAGTTGCTCCGCTTGCACGCCCAAGTACATGACAAGATCGCCTTGGAGCTTGCTTCTCTCTCTCAGGTGATGCTTCTGGATGCTGAACGTCTGCGAGCGCAGCAAACCGACCTTCTTGCCGGAGAACCCGCAGTCCGGGATGAGATGGCGCGGTTAGAAGCCGTTCGAGACGTTTGTAATAATGTTTCTAGCAGACTGCGCAATACTGTTGATAAAGGGGAGCGCAACATTGCTGAATTGCGAAGGAAGGGAGATCCAGAAGTCGATGAGTTGATCTGCTCCACGAGCATCGTACATAACCAGTATGGAATACTTTTTTGTTCGTCGATATCACGGGGAACTACTGACTGGTGTGAATTCGACTTTCTAAACAGGCTCATTAACTTGGTAGCTGAAGATAATGCCATAGAAGATACCATCTATCATCTCCATAGGGCTTTGAACACCGGGCGCATTGATCTAGAACGTTTTTTGAGGGTGAGTCATTCAAGGTTTGATATCACCTAGTCACTTGTAACTGATGGCGATTCTTCTATCTCAGAGTACGCGTGTACTTGCAGAAGAACAGTTCACAAAGAGGGCACTGATGGAAAAGATCCAGCAAGGCCTTCCAACGGCAACCTCTATAGTCTACAGCTAATTGGAGCATTATTTAATCAGGGTCCTAGAAGTTGATAAGGATTGCTCGATAATGTACTTGCCTTATTCGCATTGTTCGAGACCTTTTTTTGAATTGAACTTCTGATCTGAGGTCAGGGTTCACGTTGCCATGTGCCTGACGAGGTGGCATGGGCGCAGCGCCTTTGCAGAAGATCTGACACCGGTACTTGATTCGAACAAAAACTCCGATTGGTTGGACGACAGTATGGCTAAAAAGCACACTAGTATTTTGTGAACAAGATTGAGGGGATAAAAACCTATCATAAAAAACACAGAAACATAAGAAGCAAACAACAATAAATCGATCGACCCATCGCAACTAGAACTGGGGTGTTTCACAGGCTACTTCATCCTTATGCGTCTCAAATTGAACCTTCCGAATTTCTGGTCCACCGGTAGATCCTACCCATCGCCAGACACGTAGTTCATCCCCTCCTTTGACTTCTTCAAGGTTCGCCCTCACATTTGCATTCCCTTCGACCACACGCTCCACTTGATCCCATACTCTTCTTCGGACTGATATTGAATGTTCATCCTGTAAGATGAGATCACGAAGCTGCAGAGAAGACAAATATGGGTGCGGTGCCGTCACTGGATCCGTATGGTGCGCAAGTTCTTGATTACGCAAGGTATCAAGTGCGATTTGCACTAATTCTGCCACACGTCTTCCCTCCATTTGACGGAGCGCCCGGGACCGCTTTATGAAATACAATGCGCACATGCACGCTATACAAGCTGAACAAATTATCATGAACCTTCGGAACATCAAATGAGATTCGTAAGCCTTACCATACACAGACGCTCGCCATTCTGCCCAAAGTTCACGAGACTTGACAGTAAGTTGACAGCTCCAAGACAAGTGTGGCGTCTTGTGAGCCAAATAACGATGACCTCTATTCTCATTTAGTTCCTTAATGTGGTTACGCAATGAATCGACTCACATGTTGTCCTCCCCAAAAATTACGGAACCCCATTGGACTAGCTGTTGTATGGCTTCATTGAACGTGTCATCAAAATTGGCGAGAAGATGCGGCTACCGGTCCAAGAATGAGGTTCATAATGCATATGAGGAAATGGTTTGAGAAACTCACAGCTGTCTTGTGCTTCATTGTATTCCTTAGAATCTCAATTTCTAGACCCCATTTCATGGCCTCGCCCCCTTCACTATCATTGACAATCTCCCGACTTTGTTTTTCCCCGATGCAAACGCGTCTCCCTCTTTCCTGTCCGAGAAGGGCTTCTATCGCTTTACCCAAGGCGCCTATATTCCGTTTCCGTTTCGGATCTTCGTTGCAACGTGGGGGAAACGCAACAGATCCCAAACTCGGTAAGCCATTGGTAACGTCACCAATCAAGCTCCATATGCTTTCCACAAGAGGAGTTGCGGTGCCGAAAGGTGATAAAATGCCGAGAAGAGGGTGAGGACGCGATACATAACCAGGGTTACAGACCACTGAGTGTTGCGTGCAAGTCGCGAATTCTGGACAGGGAGCACATGCTGAAGGATGCAAGGCTGGAATGAATGGTAGAGGGGGACATGTAATTCCATCCTCGAATAACCCAATATCCGATATGACCGATGGCAAATATATAACAGTTTTATTGTCTTTGTTACGAGCCTGGACTGCCTCCCGCTGCGCTTCGAGGTCCCGTAGTGCTTGATTGGTGTTGCTGCCAGTATCGCAGTAACCAATGGCAGATGATTCATCTTTGTACTGCTTCACAAAGTAGGATCCGGCGACTATCACAATTAGGTAGAGGAGTGTCATAAAACGAGACCTAGAACGTTGCAGGGGAGGGGCTGGACGCCGGCGAACCAATTGGTTACCACCAGCAATACGATTGGATACGGCAACCCCTAGCGAATCAGGGTCCCCAAAACTGTCGCTCTGGCTTTCATCAGCAGTCTGGCCATCAACTACGTCTGTGCCATCATCAAAATCTAGGCCACGGGCATCGACCTTGGTTGTCAATTGAGAAGACGGTCTAGACCGGTGTTCAACGGGACTGAACCGGACCGTTTCTGATGGAGTTGAGATTTGGGGGACTCGTAAAAATGTCGGAGGAAGTTCTGGTTCAAACTTTGATTGCGGAGGAGAGCGCTGTAGATCCACCGGAAAAAGAGGCGCTTTCGGAGGAGACAAGAAAGGAGATGCTTGAGGAGGTGCTGACATCGAGTGACGTGACTTCTTGACAGAACCACTTTTCCGAGTACTTTGAGGACGCACAGGAGACGGCCGCACAGGCGAAGATGATTCAGCGCCCGACTGGAAAATGTTATTATCCTCCCATCCGCTGTCATCTGCAAGCTTGAGACACAGTTAGACAAATATAGAACAATAACACTCCTTCAATTACCGATATTCTGCGCGCTTGCGAGCCTGCAGCTTGTGACTACATGAATGGTTAGTGCGCCTTACGGTCGAACATAACGCTCACTCACACTCTTCTTGTTCCTGCCTACCTTGCGCAAGGGCGGGTCTTCTTCAGGTTCACTTTCCTCGATGACTGCGGGCTGCATGGCGGTGCGAACAATGGTTTTAGGTGCGCCACCAAGGCTGGGTTGTGCAGACGAACGACGGCGCTTCGGCTGAAAAACGCAAGATTAGACTGGGCATAGCATAGGAAATGACGTCAATACTGGATCTGGTCGAGGCGGTGGTTCGTCGTCATCTGACGGTGCACGAGAAAATCTCCTGGAAGATCGCCTTGGCTGATTTTTATTAACAGGAGAAGAGACACAGCAGTTATACTAAGAAAGCACCTTAGTGGCACCACTGAGAGGTTTTCCTGTCATGCCATCTGTTATTCCATCATCGCTAGCAGCACTGTTTTCCTTCTTCAGTCTGTCCTTCTTGAATTTCGCCGCCTTCGGCTTGACTTCATCAAGAAAAAGCTGCACCAATTTTGGTTTGGTGTAAGGAGTCGGAAATCTAATGTTGTGATATCCAAGAACACCAAGAAGTTGAGCTACTGTAAGGGTAGCAGGATCAAATTCAGGGTTAAGATATTCGCCCAGGCCGATGACCTGAGCTGCAGTCATAGCCCTCGACATCGTGGAGCGTGTTGAAGCCGTTGTGGTGACAAGTCACGCTTAGCGCACCGCACCGTGACGTACACGGTCACATGCTCAGTCACGCTGATGTCTCAAGTTCGCGTCGAATTGCTGCTGATTAGGGGTACGGGAGAAAACCCGGTTTTTATTAACCGTGTTCATAACAGCCTGGTGATAATAAGAGTGCCACTTGGGGTTAATAAAGTGCTAGTAAGTCAAGTGACCCCTCCGAGGTTCCGGTCTTCAAGCTTCAAGCTTCATACGTTGATCGAAGTCCTGGCACTGTGCAAATCGTGCAAAGACAACAAATAAAAAGTATCGCGATGATATGTCACTTTCACTCGCTCATCACTGCTGCAACGGACGAATGTCATAAAATTGCCTTGAACTGTTTATGTTCACTCTAAATTTGCGGGCATCAATGATAATGTTTCTAGAATTAAATTTCTCACAAGACAAAAGATCATATTGAGCGAGATCTAGAGCAGAATATTGGTATTCTCCTGCAGTTTCCACCGTACAATGGTGGACTCACTGATGAACTCGGAGGTGGTCACATCCGTGCCAACTCAAGATTCAGCCTTCGAGGTCGAGGCCGAAGTGGATTTCCATGCACCAATTATGACGAGGATCTTATCAGATAAGTGCAAGAGTGTAGCTGACCGGGCTTTAAAGAATGGTGGCCGTAACAATGAGGGCGCTAGTGACTTGGAGGATGCGGACCCCGAGTGGCCCAGGCTCAGTGGGCCAACTGGTAGAGCAAATTTTGGGTCATATGATTGTTAACAACTTGTTAATAACTTGGTTGTTCCCTGTGAGCGACACGCATGTTATTGTTATTAACTGCTGGGAGAGTTTTCGGCCGCACCCTACTGCTAGTCATAAAGCTAGAACTCATCCACGGAGTTCGTTTAAAGACCGAGGTAGATGGTAGCACATGTATACCTATTTAGGATTCAATGGCCCATACATATACCTGTGCCTCCGCCCGAGAATATTTGAATATTCACATAATTATCAAAGGTGGATTCAGGGATCTCGAACGGGGTGCTACTAGGAGTATCTCAAGGCGATGCTCACGATGCGGCCGAAATTTATCGACGTTTTTCTACGAATAGAAGTTACAGAACGGCGTTGCCGGGCGACTACAAAGGGGGCATGTATAATCGATTTACTTATGAAACTGGAGGTATGATTATTTTCAATAACTCCTTAATGTCAACATCATGCAAACTTGGGACGGAATGGTCCCGAAGGTCCGAACCATTTTCCGTCAACCTGTGGCGTACGGCGCAGCATAAGACACCCGAGAGTCCCGCGCAGACTGTTTCAAAAGACTCACCATACGGCTCCAGTAAGCCCAAGGAAAAAGATCCTAAGAATGGCAAAGACAATAAGGCGTGTCCCGTTTTCGGAGCTGCAACTCCAATTGTACTCCATACCTTTTTGAAGTGATAGAATAATCTGAGAAATTTGACAGGTTGAATGCAACGATGCAAGTGGGAATCACAAAGAACAAACCTTCTCCGCTTCACCTGATCGCCTAGGTATTTGGAAAAGCTTTCTTTGGGCACAAATCCATACTTGAACTCCGTTAGCATCAATTCCCCATATCCCGTCAAAAGCTAAAATTGGAATGTAGTCAAGTGAACAATGTTGTAGGAAGGTAGACGGACCGGGCAACTGGTATAGCCATCATACTTGGCACCGCTCAATTTGCCGGTGTCCATAACTGAAAATAAGTTTTCCGTTAAAATAGGGGCCTGGGACGTAATGGCAGCAATCGTCTTGCTAGTGGGCAGGGAGGAGCAGTCACCCAAGGCAAATATGTTTCCAAACTCCGGTTTGACATGTCTGAGAGTTTCCTGGTCGACTTCTACCCAGCCAGCCGGGTCAGCGATGGGCGATTCTTTAATAAAGTCTAGCGGTCCCATCGGCGGCGTGACATGCATGAGGGTGAAATCACGATCCACGGTCGAGCCATCCTGCTTTTTGAAAGTTGCTTTCCTGTTTGCCGCATCGATGGAGATTAAGTTATGTTGGAACTCTGCTCCGATACCCCGCTCAATGCGCAGGGCGTTCAGGGCATCCGAATACTTCTTGACGCTAAACATGGATGGCATGCCGTTCATGAAGTCGATCTTGATATTATTTCCTCGACCAGATTTCTGGTATCTATCATAGGCCATCCACATGATTTTCTGCGGGGCTAGAAGACGGTAAGCAGCACCATACAAAGAGACATCTGACTTACCTCCTGGACATTTAATGATGCCTGCAGGCTGGGTAAAGATAGCATTTCCGGACTTGAGAGCATCTATGTCGCGCCAAGCTTTGTCGCAGGTATTATAGGAGTATATTGACGAGACTCCAGAGGAAGGATCAGCGAGAGCCTGTGGCAAGCCAGCGATGCCGTCCCAGTTTATCTTCAAACCAGCTGCCACTACAAGGGAATCATATGAAATTGTCCGACCTGACGTTGTCGTGACTGATGAGGATTCCGGATAGAACGACTTGACATTCTCTGCTATGTGTGTGATATGCGGCGGCAATAAGGACGGGAGAGGTCGTCTGAAATCTGTCTTGGATGCAAGACCAGCACCGACCAAAGTCCTGAAGAATACGTCAGGTTTCGTATCAGAGTCAATGAATAGGAAACGTTACCAGCCAGGCTTGAAATGGAAAACCATCAAAAAGTAGCTCAGACGAGTAGGTTACCGATTCTAGGTGCTTACTTGATAGTAGTGATAGTCTGCTGCGTCAAGGACCACCACATCCCCTGCATTCAAAGGCTTCCCGGCAGCCTTGAAGCGGTCATATATCTGGTTGGCAATGGTCAACCCGCCAGAACCTGGAGATTCATCAACGTTAATTCAAAGAACGCCATCGACTGATGCACCTCCTCCGACAACAACCACTCGAAACTTTTCCTTGGTGCTTGTACTGGCAAACCTAGCTAGAGAAAGAGTTTGTCGAGCACGCGGACCTGTTACACGTGGAAACGCAGGCAACATGTTTAATACGATGGTAGTGAAACAAAGAGGTGCAAGTAATGAATACTCTGATTCTGATTCTTGGCCACCTATTAAGCCAGCTTCCAGACCTCCCACATTCGTGAGAGGTCTTTTAATGTAAGGATTCTTACATGTCTGATAGTAGTCTTGTCTGCTCGTACCCTCAGCAAATTCAAAGACAGCTACAACTTCTTACACACTCCTCGGAATCAGGTGTTTGATTTTCACCTAATTTGTTGGTAGTCATTTCGCACGTGGGGGAGCCGGTAACCCAGGGTCTGTCCATTTGACTATGTGGCACGCGCTCCGGGCGGTCTTGGCATGACGAGCCATCTCCGTTCTAAGCGAAGATTTCTTTCGTTACCTAGCGCAGACTTATATTAATGAACTGAGAGAATCCTCAAGGAATTTCATTATAAAGTGGATAATCACCAAGTCATCAGTACAATTTTGCTATCAGTCATCCCATGAGGAAAGCGGACTTACAAATCGATCGGCGTACATGTTTGCAAACTGCCGTCCGAGTCATGGATTAGTGCGACTCAAAATCAAGATAGAACCTCGGGCGCCACATTGGAACCAGCTGCACATATTGACGGTGTCCACAGTTTAGAAGGTATCATGAAAAGCCATTATCTTGCAGACACTGCGCTGAGCGAATAAGAACCGATTACTACTCCGTTCAGATTTGCTTCAAATGTGTGATTTGTGGCTACTCCATACCTGTTCTCTCGTGGAAGTGACGATTTATACCATGTTTGAGCGAGAATCGATGAGTCGAATCTTTGAATGAATTGAATTTGCTCTGGATGAGTAGTCAATCATTGGGTACTCCGTGCGAAATACTGATCGGTTATCATAATGGGGAGAGGCAACTCCCTGCCAATTTCAAACTCAGCCCGTGCTCTCGCTAAAGGGGTATGTGACTGAAATGGTGGTCAATATAACTGTCGACCGCTGGACATCAAGCACAACATTATGAAAACTACATTGTATGGAGACTTTGCTGCGAAATATAAAACTGATTGTATTCTCCATGCAAAAAATGAAAAACATGTGAATTGTAAGGCTATAGTGTTTGGCAAAAGCTCATGCAACCAACTTTTTCAAAATTCATCAGCAAACTAAAATGGCCTGTACAGAGCTGTACAGTATCCCAGCTCCCTAGCTTTGTCCCTACTACCTAGCTTGCTACAGGGGCAGACTTTTCTGTCAATCTCTGTACAGGTGCCCACAGACATGCCCAGTGAGCACCAAATAACTCTCAAATAGTCCTGGTTTCCTCTGTCCATGTCTGTACAGACCCTCACAGATCCCTCAAGGAACAGAAATTGTGCAGACAATGCTTCCTGTACACCTTACTTGAGCTTATTCACTCTGTACAATAAATAGCTGCGGATAATATATATTGATTTTGGGATGTGAAAACATGAAAGCACATAATACGAGTAGCGGATGCAACAGATCAAGAGAAACAGTATGGAGTACAACTAAGAGTAGCAGAGAACTGCAATTCAGGTGTGGAATACAGAGAGTTAGTCCAGGACGACCTGGAGATCATTGTGTTTCGCCTCTGCTGCACCACTGTTGAGCTTGATATTTTCAGCCCTGTATGAATGAAATCAGTTTAAAGTTTCTGGCACAAAAATAACTCACCATCCAGCTTCAGCCCATTCTCGAAGTTGTGTTAACAATCTAGGGCCATGATATTTGTCCTTGAGGGTATCTTTGATGATTTGGATCATTTTGTGGTAGATGGGAGAGTATTCCTTCAAGGAAAAATTGGAATAACATTTACCATTCCCGTTCTTCTCAAGACCATCAAAAACACAGTGGAACTGTAGAGAAAAAAATTAACATATGGGCATGACATTGGGGAGAGAACAAATTACCACTGTGGCAACTAAGGCCAAACACAATATGGGTAATTGCATGTGGAACTTCTCTGGCTGCCTCCATGCAATCTGGTAAGGCCCTGTGTAAAGAAAGGCTATGCAGGTGTCACAGAGGGCAGGATGGGCCAAATTCCTCATTTTCCCCTGTCAATTTTGCTGTGAGTAAGGTTGTGATTAGTACAAGATCACTTACATTTTGGTCTTTTCCGAAGCGTAAAAATGAACCACCCTTGAGTAAATCTTTAGGGGCCCTTTTGACCCAGGTCGCACATTGTTGAGGAGGAATGGAAGGCAGAGGCAAAAGTGAGTATGATAATGGTGTGATGCTTATTGCAGTTTTCTTCAGATCTGATCACCAAGTCGACAGGTCATCATACAACTTCAGTACAAACATGTCAGAGAGGCATCAGCATAAATGTAAATAATACATGTACCAACCCTGTCATATTGTATTGCTGCTCTGGCCAAACCCCTGCACCAAGGCATGAAATGGATTAGTTTGGCAAAAAAAAGAGCACATACCAGCCTTGAATTGTCTACCACTCTTGTCCCATGCAACCAAAACCAAAACTAGAACCTCAGAGATGGTTCCTGGCATCCCCTTGACTAATGGTGGGAAAGGGTTTTCTAGGGCATGCTGAGCGCGACACTCTCCTTTAGCCTCCTCGAGGAAACTTTTCCAGCGTGGCCCGTACCAAGCCAGTTGGTCAGGCCTTGGCCCACTTTCAGATCCCTTTGATCTCTTGGATCTCGACTGACTCCCAGCATTGACCAACTCTGCCACTTGATTCAGCAGCTGGAGCGATTCAGGGTTGGGAAGGCGGGGCTGACCATTTTTATCATGATGGCGCTTCAATACGTCATCAGGGAGGTTCGAGGTAGTAGTCTACAAAAAAAAACATGAGCTTGATCTAAAACAGATTTGCACCCTCACCTGAGGGCCTGCTTGTTCCCTCTGCACTCTTTGCAAGGTGTCCAGAGACTTAGAAGGTGAGAAACTGTAAGCGTGATCTAAATGAGTAATGAAAATCATACCTGGTTGGTATTGTTGAGATGCATCCGGGAAGTATCATCATCTTCATTGCGTGAGTATTGGAATTCAAAATCTGGTGTGAGAGGGCGAGCAATTTGAGTCTGAGTGGGTAGTTCTTCAGCCGAAAATCCTATAGATGTAAGACTCAGTCAGTGAAGGTACTTTAGACAAGAAATTCTTACCTGGATGTTCTTTGTGCCATCGATGGGCCTCCCCCTAACCAAATTGTGATTTGTTATTATCTCCTTCGTCTCCATCTTCTGTGTCATCAATGCCATCTATGTTGCTACTGCTGGATTTGCTGTCCTCCAGGTCAGATCCTACCAGTCCTGCACAAAGTGCTTGGCTAACGGCATCCTCCTTGCATAGGGCTGGGTCCAGGTTGTGCTCTGACAAGATAGCAGCAAGTGGACACTGGGAACTGTTAGCATAATCAATGAAAGTGTTCTTATTGCATTTTTCGGTAACATTCATTCCCATAGTAGCGAGATATGAGTTGTTAGAGGCTTGAGGACTGGGCTCCACACCAGGAGGGATGATAGGTGTGGTGGTCAAAGCTGCAAATCCGAACCTCCCACCACTTTTCTGCAATGAAAAAGTGGGAACTGGAGTACTGACATCGAGGTTCATGGACTCAGGATTGTATGGTGGAGGCTGCACCTAAATGCACAATCAGCACTATCCAGTCCTAAGAAGAAAAGGTCCAAGCACAAAGCTTCTGATGCTTCCAAGGCTACTTCACCGAAGAGGCATTGTGCTACAAACCTCTCTGAAGTTCCCAGCATGCCGCTCATGTCTCTTGGCCTCACTGAAGTTGGTGCTACAGACACTGCTCCTCAATGTTCTGGCCATCCTAATGCAGGGACAGGGGGCAGGAACACCCAGCTGGAGAAGATCGGGGTAGTTTTAGAGTCTCAGTTCAGGAATTGGAAACCTAAGGGCACTACATCTCTTAGCACTCAATCCCATGAATCCTCAGGCTCCAGAACCACCTTGTAAAGGCCAGAAGAGTCGTCCAAAGGTACAGCACAACTATTGTTATGGCTACTGTATGAGAAGGCATGGAGCAATACAGAAAGCACCAAGACAAAAAGAAAAAGTTGATCAGACTCACCATTATATACACATCTCGGTAGAAGGATCTGAGCAGCCTTGATAAAAATTATATCAAAGACCACGCCTGCGTTAGTGAGATGATGTTTGCACCTTTGAGTCAATGTGCAGTTGTATTTGCTATGCGGTTTAGTACCACTGGTGTTCAGACGTCATACAAATATTCCAGTCAACATATTATGTAAGCAAATGATAGCATCAGACACAAGGCAAACAACATGTCGGTAGAGTATGGGTAACAAATAGTAATGAGAAATTTTGGGAAATACATATAAACTGGGACATTGCTAGTCAATGTAAGAGATAGTACCACAATGACACATATTGAAAAAAAAAATTACATTTGCTAGTCTGACTCGGATTCATCTGATTTCTTCTGCTTTGATGTTCCTGGGCCCATGCCAGGCTGCAAAGATATTGAAGCAGCACATTTCAAGTTGGATGAACTATTGAGAACAGTGGCAGACTTCAGCATTGTCAGAGTGGATTAAAGCTCCTCATCATTGGGAAGTTCATCGAGATGAGAGTTGAGTACATGAAGAATGGTGTCAAAGGTAACAGGGTGAACCATGTTATCCTTCAATGCTGCACACCAATCTTTTGCCAGAGGGATGAGAGGCTTGAAGTATGGGTGAAATTTGTTTAGAAGATGTTCTTCATCCAATGGGTTTGCAAAGAAGGTAATCTTGAAGGCGGTGCACAATGCCAGGTCAAGGCTAGTCCAGCAATTGAGTAATGAATTAGACATGTGCTCCTGATGGACCGCACCATTGGGACCACTGAACTTGATACAAACCCAAGTGAATGTAAAAAAAAGAGATTCAAGGTCATCAGAGTAACCTTGGATCACATGAGAAAGAGGCAGCACCAAAGAATCCGAGGAGGTTTTTGGGGTTTTGGGGCTGGAGTTTTCTTCAATTTTGACTTGCAAGTTTTTGATAGCCTTTTGTTCTTGGCTTCTGCCTTTGCCTGTTGCTGCATGAGTAAAATTTGGCTGAGAAGCCTGCATGACATGAAGGGGACTATTGAATATACACTGAATGAAAGTATTAGCTACATAAGTAGACCGTAAATGAAAGTGTCTCACCTCAGTTGGCTATATAAGCAACTGAGGTGCATAGATGACAATGAACAAAGAAAAACTGTACATGATTATGTAAGTAAGCAGTCACGTGTTACGATAACTGTTATCGTCGTTTGTACTGACTTCCAACACTCCTTCTCAAACGATGACTCTAACTCCTAGCTCATGTGCGAAATGCTTCGCCTTAACGCTTGGAAGGGCCTTCGTTAGCGTGTCGGCAACCATGTTCTCCGTCGGGCAGTATAATAGTTTGATCGAGCCGTTCTCGACGCAGAAACGAATGTAGTGGTATTGAATATCAATATGCTTGGTGCGTGCATGGTAGCTTCCGTCTTTGGTGAGTGCGATTGCTGACTGGTTGTCACTGTATAGTGTTGTTGGATGCTGCAGCGGCCAAAAAACTTCCCCAATGAAACGACGAAGCCATTGAGCTTCCTTGGCTGCGTGAGTGGCCGCTACGAATTCTGACTCTGCAGTTGACAGGGTTACTAGCTCTTGCTTTCGTGAGCCCCACGATATTGCACCACCGTCAACCAAAAATGCGAATCTGGTTATAGCACGTCTGTGCTCTTGACTGGCGCCATCAGCGTCAGTATACCCGACTAACCCTGCACCACTCGTCCCAAAAGTGAGTCCCAACTTCCTCGTTCCCAGCAGATAGTGGTATACCTGCTTCACTCCTTCCCAGTGCGTCCACCCTGGCTTGTCTGCGAACTGCATGAGTGTCGAGACGGCAAAGGCTATGTCTGGACGTGTTCCGATGGCCAGGTACATTAGGGATCCGAGCGCTGAGCGGAACGGGACTCGTTTCATTTCAGCAACTTGTGTCGTCGTGGTAGGGGATTGGTCCTGTGTGTACTGAATACTTGGGTCCATAGGCACTGCTGCGGGTTTAGCATCAACAAAGTTGTACTTCGTAATGATAGCGTCGACAAATGATTCTTGGGATAACGAGACGGTGCATGCTTCACAGTTTCGAGTGACTTTCATGCCGAGTAACCAGCTGATGGGTCCTAGGTCTGTTATTCTAAATCGCGACGCGATTTCGACCTTGAACACTTTAATTAGCTCCTTCGAGCTGCCAGTTATGGTGCAGTCGTCGATGTGTGCTGCGAGGATGAGCAGGTCTTCTCCTATGTGTGCTGTGAACACTCCCCAGTAACTTTCCATCTGCTCGAACCCTAATTTGGTGAGTTCTCTGCACAAACATTTGTACCATTTTAATGCACCTTGTTTTGATCCATACAGCACAACTCGAAGCTTCGCGACCTTGTCCTTTCCTCCTAAGTCCACTCCTGGTGGCAACTCCATATAGATCTCTTCATCCACGTCAAGCTTGCCATTCAAAAATGCACTGTGGAAATTGAATACATCAACGTCCCAGTCTTGGCGCGCGGCGATAGCGAGAATCAGTCTCAACGATGCGAGACGAGCCACTGGTGCGTAAGTCTCGTAATAATCAACACCGTATACTTGAGTGAAGCCTCATGCGACTAGCCGGGCTTTATACTTATCGATTTCTCCTGCAGTTTCCTTTTAATCTTGAAGACCCACTTGCAGCTGACGACATTCTTGTTCTTGGGCCGCTGAACAATGTCCCAGGTACGTGCTTCGTGAGACTCTGTAGTTCCGCATTGACGGCGTCTCTCCACTTCGCCCAATCAGATCGTGTCTTCGCATCTTCGATGGTGCTTGG